GTGGCGAGTAATTAGTACAAAAGTAATTAAAATATTCTAAAAATCATTTATTGGTGTCCATTGATTGTAGTATTGAATTTTTGGTTGACTCTTAGTATGGTAATCTTAGAGTGGAGTGATTTAATGATTTCATTGTCATCAAAAGTATTATTCATTACAATGACAGAATTGTAATGTATTTGCAATGTGTTAATCTGTTCTTCCATCTATTTCAGCGTGGTCTGAACATAGCGGCTTTTTGCAAGGACTTCAATGCTCAGACTGCCCACTATATAGAAGGTGTTCCCCTTCCCTGCAGAATAACAGTAAAATCTGACAGATCATATGAGTTAGTAATCCACAACCCTCCTACGACGTACTTCCTTAAACAAGCAGCAGGAATTCAGAGAGGTGCCATGTCTCCAGGTAAAAGATTATATGATTTCTGTGAATATTTTCCCTGTAGGTGAGTCAGCTCTGGTCATCCTTAGAAACAATGGCACAGAAACTTTGGTCACCCCTTTTAATTGACAGTTTTTTGTGTTTACATTAACACTCGCCTAATTGGTAATCTGGTCATCTTCAGCCAAGCACGATCTTTCCAAATTTCCTGTTTTGCATTTCTCTGTTATAAACAGTACTGTGTTACTTCTCTTACATTGGTAATCTTCTCTCAGCCTATCTATGACAAGCCAGGCCCACATGGCTGACACTTTAGGTTGACTTATAGATGTTCATTGTAGGAAACCACACTGACTATAAGACATCACTTCCCAGAAGAAAAAGTACATTTGAGTCATAGTGCTGCTGACATTGTCTCTGTGAATATTATGTTGTTATGGTATTGCATGTAAATTAATGTACATTTCTCTCACTTAGGAAAAGAAGTGACTGGCAAACTAACTCGTAAACACGTCTATGAAATAGCGAAGATCAAACAGCAGGATCCACCAATGCAGCTGACACCCCTTAAGGAGATCTGTGAATTAGTAATTGGCACAGCTCATTCATGTGGTATTGAGGTAACTATTTTTAAACCAAAATGTATAGCCTTATCTTCAGATTACTTACATCTGGAAGCCTATTTTCTTTTAAATATCCTGATTCCTCGGTACTGAAGTAATGTACGTGTAATTCCAGATTCTCAAAAGGTGCTTCTTTCTTGAGAGTACTGTCAAGTGTTACTTAATTGAGCAATTTTGATGCCCTGTTAATGTTATAAACTCTTTTTTTGTAAAACTTACATTTATACATAGAAATGTAAATTATACTGTACAGTATAGTATACAGTACTGTACTGGAGAATGACAGCAATCTCTGTTAATCTCCATCATAAACAATTGTACTAAACTAGAACATTCTGCAGTGTGCCAGATACAAGCAGTTTAGGTTAGGAATTCATAAAAATTTATTTATATTGGGGCTCCTTGAAATTCCAGTTTAGTATTAATGATTGTAATGTTGCATTATGATTTCACGAGTCATTGGTACCAGTAGCTATTAGTGAATATTTCTTTTTAATTTTTAGATTATGGATGAAATAGACCCTCAAGAATATGGAGAATTTCTTGGGCAACGCATGCTAGTGGTCGAGGAACAACTGAAGGAGCTAAAGGAAAAAAGAGAAGCCAAGTTACTCAGAAAGTAACCTGTGATGTAAATTGTAAACGAAATGTTTTCAGCAAATCCATTATACGTGTACTGTACTTTCCACTAAAGTTGCAGGGTAGCCAGAATTCACTCTCTTCAGTTTCTCCCAATCATCCTCTCACTGCAGTAAAGGATGGGTTCCACTATGATGCTCATCTTCCTCAATAAGGCCCCAAAATGTCCTCTTCTTCATATACCCTGGCAGACAGCTCACCAGTCAGGTTTCCTCTATATTTTATTTCTTATCAGTTTGATTAATCACTGAACTGTAGTTTGCCTCATTAACTTGTACATTGTTGTTTATTACTGTAAATATAAATGTATATCTGTATATGTTTATAAATAAAGTTTTTTTTTTACTACAAATAGTAACTTTTGTTCAAGAATACAAATTCCATTCCTGTCATCTTTGTAATGAGGACAGTAATTCATCTTCAGTATGATGGCAGTACTGATACACTAACTTGTACCTTCTGTAAATAACTACATTAATAATCTAAAGGTCACTTCCTCTCCACCAATAAGACCAATATTACATGGTGATGATCATCAAGTGTCCATAAGGTCATTATGAATGTGACAGCCCAAATCCTCAAAGTTCCTACACCTACATTACAAAGGCACAATATAATACAGCACAATTTTTCTTGAATTACAAGTAAGAAACCACAAGTACTTATACTCTATATAAAATTATACATCATTTATGGACGTCGTGAATCATAACCATAAGTGCTGGGTTGTATATAGAATTTACCCTTATGACACTAATTCATGAATTCTTTACAGTTACCCATCACAACCAATCCCTGAAAGGGATCTTTAGAAGTAAAAGTTAACCATTTAAAGTAGACAGCAGTGAGTTATGAGCACTGTGTCACCTGGATTTCATCCAGCTCAACCTTAGTGGAGTTAACAGGTGTCAAACCACTTAGTCCTTGTTCAAGTTTACATGCAGTGCAGATGGCAAAGTTCACCATCTGTACATCATCAGTGTATCGTCTCTGCATAAAGTGATCAGTGTACACAAGTAAGCAAAACTTGATCTTGTTAGGCCAAGCACTAGATTGTTCAGATTATGAAGCAGTTGTTGTTTATATTTCTTGTTACCATTTATATAATGGTAATGAATGCCTGCCTCAAACATATATAATTAATTTAATTACAGTAAACCCTTGCAATTCGCAGGTTTGTGATTCGCGATTTCAACAATTCTCGGTAAGCAGATGGTGTCTATGGTGGCAACCTTGCGAGCCTCTCGTGCAGCGCAATGAATCACCCCACATGCCCGCAACGTCTCCTCTCCCACCGCGATCAACCATTGCTTAAGATGCAGCATCTTTTGTGTTGTACTCTCAAAAATTTAGTGTTTCTGTGTGAAAATGGCCCCTAAAAGACTGCCTAGTCTCAGTGCTAGTGATGTCAGTGGAGTGAAACATAAAAGGCAGAAGTTAGTGATGACCCTGCCAAAGAAAGCTGAATTATTAGACAAGTTAAAGGAGGGGATGAGTGTTGTCACAGCTTGTCGGTTGTTTGGTCCGAGAAAACAACCAGGCATTGGTTCCCTACCAGGAAATGTTTAAAGACCTCAAAGACCTCAAGAAAAAACCAGCTGCTCGTTCAGCTGATTCGTCATCCACTTTTTACTTACTCAGCTGCTGCCACCACTCCACCACCTTCCTCCTAGCCACCTGCCACCTCACCACCCACCTCCCAGCCATGCGCCATCTCCCGGCCTCATGCCTTTCCACCACCTGCCTCTCTACCACCAGCCTCTCCACCAACTACCACTGCATCGCCCTCTTACAACAGTAATCCTGATGATCTCCCTATGCTTCAGTAACCAGATTTTTCCGTACTGTACAGTACACCACTTCATCAAGCTCCAAACTTCCACATACGAAGGTAAGTAGTATTGGTGACTTAAGTTTCTCATACACAGTATAGGTGTACATTGGTGCACTTAGGTAGTATAAATTGCTATTCGTGGTTTTACCAATTTTTAACATTCTTTAGAACCTAACCTTCACGAATAGCAAGGGTTTACTGTATTATCTATTTCATGCTACATTTTTACAAACAAAAAGGTCACATAAAACATTACTGATATGTAATAAATAGCTATGAAAAAAATGGTTATACACAGTACAATACAATATATGAACATTATGAAATGGGAAGTGGGTACATACTATAGGGGTGTTGGTGGTACAACGGTAACTCTCAATACTCTCACCAATATGTCAAGGGTTTGAGCCTCGGCCCGGACACACTACCAAACATCACAGGTTTCCCGGTCCCCGGCTCTCCTGTACTAACACTGGATAGAGCGCCCTGCGGCTAGTAAGCTGATACGTGGTGAGTATTATAAACAAATTAATAAGACTGATGACCCATTATCCATTTGGCTCCTGGAGGTTACCCTAAGCTGAATAAAATTGTCTGTTAGAGTCAGAATAAAATTTTAATTGGAACAACCACTGCAAAAGGGTGGATGAAGCCATACTTTTATTTTTTCAGTATACAAGGAGGCAGTGTGGCTGGCACTGCACTCAACCACTTTTAGTATCCCTCCCTAACTTTAAAGTCAGCTACTGTACACATTCACAGTTGGATGAACTGGGGATCCCCCAGGCACAAACCAGTGACCCCTAAGACAGGAGATAAGCACTGTATCTACTCAGCCACTGCACCCCTTGAACATTACTATTATACAGTATAATAAATAGCTAAGATATAGTGATACATGTCTGAAATAACATTAATGTACATAATAATTATCAAGTCTTAGAGAACATAAAACACCATTACAAGAATGACTACAGATGCTGGCGGTGATTCCAGCACCATTGGCCTTATGAACTATCTAAAAAAAATGACCACCAAATATCAACAACAAATGCTGAAGACGTCAGAAAAGCTCACATATCTATAATGACCTGAATCACAGCACAAATTATTTTTCAGTGTTTGGCAAATGTTTAAGCCCCTTATCTGTAGCAAACAATATATATTTTATTGTGTAGATCCAATGTACATCAGTTAGATTATAGCTGAGTTCTCTATTGTAAATCTACATTGAAGTTCACATTAAGTAATCTAACTGGAACTTTAGGGTTTGTTATGGTAGGACAACACAGTAGTACATGTACACATTTGTTGCTACAAGTAGAGAGAATGCGTGTGTTTACCCTTGATGCTGCCCTTCTTGGATCATGATAGTACAAATAAAGGCTTAAACAGATTGAAGAAAGCATAATCAAAAGAAATAAAACAGTTATTTTTTTCTCAAAGTTATACTGCCTAACCTTGACCTATTGGAATATAATAGAAAACTATGTGGGGACCTGAATGTTGAGCAGAATTTCAACAAGTACAGTGTATCTCATAGAACTAGTATTGCAATGGTTAATTTAACTAACTATACCTGTACAGTACTGTAAGCTACATCATAAATACAGTATAATAGACTGAGCAGTTACAGAAATACCAAATTAGCCCATAGACTATGATGAAGATGGTGGCCGGTAATAAAGTCACAGGAAAAAAAGTCACAGAAAAAAAGTCACAATTTTGGCTAGGAAAAAAAGTCACAATTAATTTATGGTGGCCGGTAATAAAGGTTAGGTTAGGTTACCATCAGTTCTGCATATTCCTTTACTGAAACTGATTGACATATTAACCTTAAAAAATGGGAGAATTCAATAGTTAACTTTTCTTTTTTTCCTGTGACTTTTTTACCTGGATTCATGAAGATTGCATATGTTTTTTTTTCATTTACTATTGTAATTACTTATAAACTTAACACACATGTAGTTTATTGTTGTTTTTATCTTACTGTATCTTCAAAATGTCTACTGTAGGTTAGATTAGCCCATACAAAAGCTCTCGCAGAATATCACATTTCCCTTATTCTGAAGTCCCCCATCAATAAGTGCTCCATTAATGATGTTTTATTTACCAAAATACACTACACAAGGCTGTATTTTAGTTATTCAACCAATGTATAGTAAATTCCTTAAATCACTCAAATATAATCTCTTAGTCATCCTCAGTTTTGCAATATCCAAACTTTTCATCCACTCTCCACCTCTCATCTACTCTCAATACTTTTCATTCAGTCAAAATTTTTCATTCACTTTCCAAACTCTCATCCATTCATAAAACTTGTTCAATCTCAAAATTTTATGCCCAGTCATAATTTATCTTTCACTCTAAATACCCTAAATCATTATCATTATTCTGTATCTCTTCCACCATGTCTTGCAATTTTTTAACCAATTTACTTGAAATTTAGCAAAGAAGGAATATCCCTATGAATATTAACCTTAATCTGCCATCCACGACAGCAGTGTGAGCTAGTATACATGATGCCATCCTTATGGAGAGCATGTGAGCAGTCTAACGAGATTATTAATTCAAAATAAATATATCAACTACCCGGTATCATTATCATCATTAAGATTAAATTGGTTCATTTGTACATGTACAGTATACAGTATGTGTAATCTTAAAAATATTCACATTCTATTTATCAGTAGTACAGTATTGCTTATATAATGGACTCAACAGCGAGTACCTTTCTGCAGTACTGTAGTGTAATGAGGTTCTCAATATATATGATGGCTGCCACTACTTATCCATGGTTGTTCTACAGTTACCCGTATAAGCTAGTTATTACTGCAGAATCTCTGAATACAGTATACTGTAGTATCTATGTCTTTTTCTGGCTTAGGTTTGAAATTTGGCCAGCTTCTTCACTTCAGATGTGAAATTTCCAACTGGTGATGGTTTAATCTTTCTCTTGTTTATCAACATCTGGGAAAGATTTATCAAGAGGAGGATCCTTCTCCGTTGTTTCACTTATGGACTGAACAGTTGTCAATTCTTCCCATGTGTATCCTCTTTGGGATTTATTTTTGAATCCTTGAGGGAGTTGAGAAAGTCGGTCAGATATGACATCCTCAACTGCAACTTTTTCCTCTTGTTTTGGACTGTTCATGGAGAAAAGGTTTTTGGCCTTTGAGGAGGGACTTGTTTCTTGTTCAGTGTCATCATCGAGGGCTTCTGGATCATTAGTGCCTTGAAGATTGTCGAGTAGTTCTATCCTCTGAGGAGGAACTAAGAGAGTGCTACTGTAGTTATTGATAAATGACCCAAGGTAAGGATGCAAACAAAAGTGGGAGTATGTCTGTAGTGAAGGGAAATTTAAATAATTCTGCTGTGGTATATATATCACGGTTGTCTTGTAACTTATCTCCATTTTCCTCATCTTCCTTGCTTTTCTGTTCTGGAGGACTTTTAATGGTGGTAGTGTCAATTATGTCATCTCTCTGTGTGTGTGCCACTTGAATGGGTTTCCCCAGTATTTGAGCAAGATAGAGAGGATGATCGGCAGTGATATCTCTGACCTGACTATAATTGTTTTTTACTTTCTTGGGTTGTTTGCCTCGCCTTGCTTAAATCTTTTCCTCTTTCTTGTTATTCTGCCTATTTCTATTTATCCTTGGAAGTGAAGGAAGCTTTGGTCGTATTTTAGTATTCTTAATCTTGTTTCGATTATCTTTTTATCTAACTGTATTTTATTTGGCCTTCCCTCCGAGAGAAGGAACCTGTGACTGATATTCTGAATTTTCGTTATTTACAGGAGATATATTATTAGGTGTGATAACTCCTTGTGCTTGATGTGATGATAAGGAAGAGTGTGAGCCATGTGAAGTCCTTGTGTTGATTTGTGGATGACAGTACTGCATGAAACTGTTCATTCAGGTGAGGAACTGTTTTATCAGAAGTGCTTGCAAAGGTTTGTGAGGGGTTTTCCCTTGCCACTGATTATTTGTGTTAATTTTACCATAAAACACACCAGAAATTTGACTATCTGACAGAGGATGTCCTAAGTGTTGTTGCTTGTGTTGCATCACAGAACCTGAAGTTTGACCTCTGATATCAGAAGTTGAAGTGGAAGGCATATTTAAACTTGGATTTTGTTGACTGTATATATTGTTATTTCCAGTGTTACCTCCACTTAGTGTTGTGTACAAAGGCCTCCCTGAATTTTGAGGAAAGTTCATATCGAGTTTGTTGATTGGATGAAGAGTGTGTATGGAAGTTTTGTTGGTTAGGAGTTGTGTGGAATGGAGAACTAAGCTGACTTGATTGAACATTGATTTCTGGATTATGTTGATTGGGTGTTTGTTGATTTGTTAGAGAGTGCATACCATATTGTGTCTTTTAACAAAGAACTCAGCTGACTAGGAAAGGGATGGATAACTGAAATATGTTGATTGCTTATCAAAGGAACCTGTGAAAGTTGTGAACCAGAGGCAGTCTTCAATTTGCTTGCAACTATTGGATTAGATCCTAGTGTTTGATAATCAGTAAATGAGCTTATCCCTGAATGTTCCTGCTGTGAACTTAATCTTTCAGTAGATATATTCATTGATACCATCTACATTAATTAAATCAGCTGCACCAACTTTCTGTAGTTTAGAGCCAGATTTTGGATGTAGATGATGAAGTAGTTCAGATGAATGTATTCTCAGATGGCTATTGGGATCTAAAACTAAGGTGTGATAATGGGAAAGACTACTTGGATCAATATATAGGTGATACTTAGACTTGAGACTCCTGTGTCGTGGGCTGGTGGGCGTAGATATTGTCTCTTCTTCATTCTTTTTCTTATTTTCTTTATTTTTTTTTTCGTCCCCGTTTATTGCCTTTCTTGTTGTTCTTCCTCTTCTTATCTATTCTCTCTCTATTTGACAATTTTTTCTTCTGGCTTTTACGCAATTTTTGGGGGGGTTCAATTTGTTCATTCAGACGGTCTATAAGGTCCTCAATAACATTTTCATAGGATGCGACACTCCTGTTATTACCTTCAGTTGCTGCATCACCCTTCTTGATGCCTTCAATGAGTGTTGACAGGTGAGAAGAAAGATCCTCTTCAGCTTGAACCTTGTTATTGTCTTCCAAATAAAAGACTTCAATCTTTGAATTATCAGAACCATACACAGAAAAGTTATATTTCCCATGCATGTTATCCAGTGGTAGAGTAGTGATTGATTGGCTGCCCTGATTCAAAGATGAGTCACTCGGTACATATGTCACTAAACCTCCATCATCCTGATACATCACCTGAATTTTCACGAATTGGTTTTTCAGTGGCTGTTGATAAAGCTTCACTTGCTTTCTCCTCTGTCTAATTCTTTCTTTTTGCTTCTTAAGTTTCTTTTGAATTTTTTTTTTTTTCTGTCGGACTTTACACCAGTATACTTACGGCCCAAAGGATTCGTGTTCTGCTGGTAAAATTTCTCAGGGTTTTTAAAGAAATCAAAGTAATTAACAAAGAGAGTTATTCTGAAGACTGTACCTCTTCACTCCACCACCTTTCCTCAGTTTCTGCAAGTCAAGATAATTAATTTAATTTTGTGAATGAAACAAGTTAAGAATTTTTATAGTACAATATACATAAAAAATTACTGTTAAAAAATGCATAAAGTATCAGTTTATAAATAATTAATTAATGTATAGGTACTAGAATTTTATGACCTTGTAAATAATGCTAAAGAGACAATACTGTACAGGTATATATTTGATTGGATTAAATATTTGACAAATTATCCACACACACACACTGGCTTATAATCTGTCTGTTTACCCTTTGTCATTTCTCCTCCCCTAGTTTTTGATTAAATGGTTCAAGGAAAACAATTACCTAATGATAGGTGAGAATGATATAAAGCAAGTCTGGAGAGTGACAGAAAAAGATTAAACAGGTAGAAATTCTACACACACACACACACATATTACACTTACTTCCAGGCAATATACAAACTGACATATTATCCTACTTGTTTGGTTCAGGCAAGAGGCTCATCCACGACCCATTTAGCAGCTCGGACTCCTGAAAGCATTGCGCCATCTACAGTCCCAAATCGATCAGTTGACGTGTGTTCACCTCCGAAGAAGAGAGACTGAGGAAGCCAAACCTGGATGAGTATTATGTGGTAATTTCCCCATCATATACATCAAACCCTTCAGAAATTACAAGTGAATCATTAATAGGAATTGTTTACGTGTGTAGAATGCACAGGTATTTTCTTTATTCGAGAACCCTATATGAACGTTATGAAGAACATTTATTTTGCAGCCATCAATTAACCAATCATTAATAAGCTCCAGTGATGATATTCCCCATGCTAGCTGGTCTAAACTCTACTTTCAACGGATCTTTTTAAATCCAGGCTTAATTAATATTGGTGTATGTTTAAGTAAATTAAGGAGCCTGTACATACCTAATACTGTACTGTACATGCCAATAGTGTGAATGTAAGAAGACAGTGACCCTCTAACCAGCTAGTAAACTGATGAAGTGGATTAGTAAGTCATAAGGTAATAATAACCAACTGGCACGTGAGTACATTGATTCACAGTCCTACAACCTTCTTCCTTCACCATTCTCTCAACCTCACCTGTTTGCCCAGAGCGTTGATCTTTGGATTCAATGCACTACGATCCTGAAGGTAACGAGCAACTCCTGTCATGGACATGTATGACTGGTAAGAACTACGAGCCCATATATTACGGCACCACCGGGACCTGTCCAGATGTTTATGAGGAATCCATTAGGAGAGAATATACAGTATAGCATTTTCAGATATTGATACAGTATAGCCATTCAAATTCAGTGTTCCATACAGAGGCTAAAGTGCTAAACTGTTTATGACAGCAGACAATATGAAAGTGCATCATTCAACATTTTGGAGGAAATTCAACATTGTAAAAATTTTTTAGTAACACCAGGTGACGAACTCACCTGTGGAAGAAGAGAGGAATTGGAACAACAGATTCACGGTTGATGGTCCTGAGGAAAGTGATGAGGTGGGAGATGACGGTTGCTGGGTCCAGCTTCTCCATCACAAGTGATGCTTCCCCTGTCACAGTCATCTCCAGCTGGCTGGGGTGGTGAGGCACACTCCTCACATGCACAATACTAGATACCCACTCCTGGTGTTGAGGAAATACTGTAAGTACACTTATTGTCTGCATAAGTCACCCCAATGCCTGCTTTCTTCAACCTGACAGTGAATTTTTTGTACATGAGGTATTGTACTCAAATTTAACACAGCCAATGATAAATTCATCAAAATCATGGTCACCTTTGTTGCATGATCATCAACTTATTTTCTTCTTGGGGATAAACTTACCATTTCTGGGGGGAAAAAGTAGTCCTTCCAGAAGATCTGCAGGTTCAAAGGTGAGTTCCCCCACCATGATAAGGCCCACCCCAGAGATAGCCTGTTGACAGTGCCAGTGTTTGTAGCCTGTAACATAGTGTACAATTAAAAACTGAAGTTAAACTAGTTTATTTAAAGATAAATTAATATCATATAATACTGTTATACAGTATTGTAATTTATAAGACCCTTACGAAAATTATTTTATGATCTTCAGGATTATCTTTATAAACTCTCAGGATTAACTTATACCCAGGGATCCACTCATGTTTAAATACAGTACACACCTAGATTCTACAGCACTTACGTGGATATTTACTGATCTTATAATTACTGTATACTATATGTGAAATTTTGTTTAAAATAATTCGTACCAATGATTACATCTTCCTTGTTAAAGATTACCAGGAACAAGTATGCTCTGGAAGCATAGCAATTCCACTTAGTGCTATACTGTACAGGTATTATAAATGAAAGTTGAAAAAATATGGTCCAAAAAAATGGGAAAATTATATTAGTGGAGAAAATACAGGAATCATAGGAGTTTAATATTTTAAGGTAAAAGAGAATTTATAGGAAACATTGTGAATCTATGTGGAGGCTAAGAATCACTTTTTATGTTGTGTGGTGGAAGATATGAGCAAGTACTGTACATACGTACTTGCAAATATTTGTGCATGTTGTCTTAACCCAATCTTGTTGCTTTCTACCCATGTCTTGCACCACACTACCCATTAATCCCTCCTTATGTGAACTTTCTATATCCCTTTTTCCACCCCATACATTATTCAGAGACATAAAAATAATAGATAAATAAACAGATAGAAAAGAAATGTAAGACTAACAAAGACACAAATAAAGTTGGCACACCATCTTACCCTGAAGGCATTGGAGAGTGCCTTTGGGAAAGTTGGAACAAAGGTTTCAAAGTGCCTCTCTCTGAGCACAGCCAAAGGGATTGTGATGATCAGGTATTCAGTGAGGTAGGAGGACCCATCGGCTGTCACCACTAAGACACTTCCTTCACCAGGCAGATCCCAGAACACTTTGCACACAGGGCTCAGCATCCGTACCTGGTGCTGGGGGACCTTGTCCTTCGGGGAGTAAATAGATTATCAATGACAAGGTACACAGATAGATGGTTAACTCTGAGACTGTACTGTATAGTGAGTGACACAAGGGCTGTCTAGGAAGAAATAATGTGTTATGTATTTGTGTATAGGTTTATATATTCTGTAGTACTTAAAGGTTTGTACAGTACTACATTAAAGTTAAACTGTACTGTATACCAGGTATATGCTTACAGTACATGTGCAAAGGTGTGTGTGTTTTCTGTAAGTCATAGATTACCACATTGAGTGGCACATAGGTAAAAATCTTGAAGGGTGTTAAGGGTTAATAAATTTGGAATTTTTTATGAAGCCAAAAGTGATTTATGGTTCCTATTGCAAGTATCTAATATGTTAATAATATTTCTGTGTCAAAATGTTTAGCATGTAAAGTGCTGTACCGGCCATGATTCAGAGATCAAACATCAAATATAAGATATATTTTTGTCATATTTCTGTGTCTGCTGGAAACTGGAAGTTAAAGTATACACCTGAAGCAGATGTGAGGTTTCTTATAAAGATGTTCTTCACTATAGGAACACAAGAAGCAGATATAAGGTTTCATACAACAATTCTGTTCACTGCAATAAGCACAGCCAATAAGTCAATAAGTGTTAAGAGATTATAAGAAAAGAGAGACCGGCAAAAGTGAAGAATACAGTACATACATGAATATCATGAATTGGAAAAATAGAAAGTGTGTAATGTTTCAAGAGAATGAAGTACGTATTACAGTAAAGTACTGTACTCAATAAATAGACAAAGAAATGGATTGAGGTAGTCACCTTAGGGTCTTGTATTGACTTCAAAATCTCCTCATAGGTAACAAATATAGTAATGCGACAGGTACTGTTATGTACAAAAAGTGATTTAGACTGTTTCAGCATAACTACTTTACTTTATCCTCTTTGACACTGCTTGGCATGTTAGCTGCTTGGGCAGTCAGTCATATCTCTGTTACACACTGTTGGAAAATACTGGACATGTACAGACTCCAGAATGTATCTGTATCTGCAATAGTATTGGTAAAGTCTGGTGGCCCGCCATTGAACATTTTTAATCAACTGACAGTCTCTAGCATATCTTGGGAACCAGACCGGGTGACAGTACTCCAGACGGGGAACCACCTCACTTTTGAAGAATGTTCCAAGGGACAGGCCATCAAGATATCTTCATGCTCTTCATGCTCGCATGTTAATTATAAAACAAACAAACAACAATGGGCCCAGTACACTGCCCTGATCCATCATTTCAGTTTCATAATTCAATTGTGTTATTGAAGAAATAGACAAATTGGAACTGAAGTAAAAGAGTAGAGAAAAACTGGATAATGATTACATGTAGTCTAATGCACATACAGTGCTGTACAAATATACAGCAATGGTAGAAAATATGAATAGAACTGAAGAGTGCAGACTTGAACACAAAGTAGTCCCAGACCAACACTACAAACCTAACTTAATCTAATCCAACCTAACCTAACCCACCAGAACAAGATTACAAAACTAACCTATCCTACCAGACCAAGACTACAAACAAAGGACAGAGGAACAACACCCGGAATGTGAGGCCAAGAGTGGGTGAAGTCAAGATGCAGATCCTCACCATCAAGTAGTGTATGAGGCTGCCCATCCCTCCCTGCCAGGTGTAGTCTTCTCCAAGGTGGACGAAGTTATCAGCATCCCTGGCTGACATGTTGAACCAGCTGTTGAACCCAAACTTGTTGCTCATTTCCTGCAGGAGGTTGGCAAAAGTAGGAATCGAGAGTTAACTGCAGAGGTGAAAGCTGGTTTGTAGGACAAGAATTGTGGTTGGTAGATGTTTGAGTCTAAAAGTACTGTACTGTACTCTACTCTACTCTACTGTATTGTACAAGAAAAACTGAAGATTCTGGTTAGGTTGTGAATCTCCAGAACCAGATCCTAAACAAACCTAACTTAGTTTTCATGCCCTTTAAATAAATTTTTAGGCTTCAGATTAAGTGACCAAACTAGATACATCGCACATATCTCCAGTCATAGGAATATCTTTGGTGCAAACTCTTAGGAATCCAGCCCTTGCTGTTTAACAACACAAATAGGTGAAAACATGACTATTTCAATACTGTATACTGTATTGTATTGAAATACAGTACAGTATAATCAACATTCCTTCTCTCTCCAAAATGATAAGTTATAGGCAAGAAAATCAAATTGGATAGATTCTTTGTCTTTTTTAGTAAAAAATACAGCACTGTAATTTAAGATAAGAGTATTGATAAAGAAGAGCTAACCTGATGATGAATGTACATGGAGGCCTCTTTGTTGTCCTCTCACCTCTGCTCCCCACAGAGTCTTGTACCTGCAACATCATCTCTTCCTTACTACAACATATTATGTTAAATTTACTGTTATTTGTATGACCTTACATCATCATCCTGTGCTGTTTCTAACATTAATATCTGTTACAGTATATCATCATCATCTCTTGACTGAATGTAATTAATGTACTTGCAGCTCTATCATTTTATTTCCAGCTCACCCAATGTTCTTTGCACCACTGATAACAGGCATGTGCTGCATTACCTTTTATTAATTACATGAATTAAACATAACCATCCAACACTTACATTCACCTGAACCAGAAGGAACTAATCCTTATTATTTACCCTTACTAGATGTAACCACCACCCACCTGTCAGAGTAGAAGTCACCCAGAGACCTCCCATAGTAGTTACTGAGTTCTTCCATGCTGAGATCATAACTCAGTTGCTGGGCGATGTTGGCATGCTTCTCTACAGTCATCAGTGGCACCCTTTTCCCTGACTTGTCACTATTGAGCTACCTGAAACCCGACAAGAGAACAGAGGTCAAATTTCTGTATTGTTACTTTACTCCTTGACACACCATTATTGAAATTACCTGAGCAATTACAGAAGAACATTAGAAGCATGTAAAGTTTGACTTGGAATATAAGGCTGTAGTGTTGGGAAATATCTGTAACTGCATCTAAAGATCCTTCATTTTGACATCTCCATTAAACCATACTCACCCAGCATCTTGTTTGGTTTGGAGTTTCCCAGGGCCCCCACCTCCTGGGCTATCTGGTATAAAGGGTTAGCCTCACCTCCTGGATAGCATCAGGTCCCTCATTCACGACCCAGCTAGCTGCAGGCAGATGAATAAATCCAGTCAACACCATATTATATAAAGTCTGCTGTATAATACTAGGTTCATACTGGCATACCCTGAACACTCATGAACACAGTTAAACAAGATTATTCAAAGGTTATATTGTACAAGCTTCAAAATTGTACATTCTAATGAACATCAATGCTCAAGCACAACAGGCTATAAAAAAGCCTTTTCTTACACACAATGATCAACACCACCACCACCACCCCCCCTCACAGTGTCTGATAGTCTTGACTCGTCCACCCAGACGGTTGGTTGCCTCCAAAAGGACAATGTTTTTGACCTTCAGATCATTGAGGGTCTTCAAAGCTGCCAGACCAGCCACACCTCCACCTACCACCACCACTTCCATTGGCTGTGCAGTCTTGGTCCTTACAGGAGTTAGGGTAATGTTATTAGGTAATAGCTCAGTCACTGAGAGTCACAGAGAAGGGATTCAGTGAAATGCAAACAATACATATGAGTAATTTACCAAAACAGATAATAATGATACAGTATTGGAACAGAGAAGATAGCAAATAACAAATGTTACAGTACAAGAGCAGCAACAGAAATGGGGACTATGAGAGACAAGGGACAAAAAGAAGCAAGTGGTGATAACAGCAGTGGGCCAGCTGAAGAAGAATGTATTAAATAGGAGTGTGGGTATACTACCAGCACAATGTACAGTACAGTTGTTGAGGGAGGTAGCAGGACTCACCAGATGTTGTAGTCGCCTGGGACACCTTTGCAAGGATTATGCTCCTTAGTCTGATCTGTTGAAAGAATGTGTTGATCAAGTCAATACGATGATCTCACTGTACCTCTTGTCTATCAAGGCTACCTGTGCCTCCCACTATCCATCTTTATTTTTATACCTGTATATCTTCTTCTCTCCATTTATTTTATATGTATTTATCTCTGCCTCACTACTTCAACTTAACCATCTAACCAAGTAGCCAATTTTGAACCCGGAGCAACACAGGCATCCACCAGATGCACTGATTCATCTCCTTGACGTTATGCTGCATTAGAGTCCATAAATTACTTCCGTGTACTCACCAACAACCACATTCTCCTCAGGTGGGGTGTTGTCCCAGCCATTAGTGACATAGTTGACCATATACTGCCATAGGCTCATGCTTGAAGTCTGCTCCTGTTCATTACGGCCTTTCTGCAGTGCTGCTGTCAGGCAAAACAGCAGGTTAGACATACAGTACTACTGTACTCTCCTAAGTCGTCCTTATATAAACAAGTTTCTTATAATTATCATGACCTATATCTGGGCATCAGTGACAGTATCATGTGATGAAATCAACTGACTATTATATTATGTGACAGAGATCATGTGACATTTTCTTGCAAGAATATCATCAGACAGTATCAAGTACAGTAACATAATCATGTGACAACACCTCATGGGAATATGCATATGTAACAATATTTAAGAACAATATAGGAGACTATGTCGTCAGGGCATCCTGTAAAAGTAATAAACCAACATGAAGTAACGGTAAACACTCAAGGAGGACTCACGGTTATAATAATCCATAATATTCTGTAGTTTGTACTCCACCAATTCTGAGTTAATCTCTTCGATGGGGTCGGCTTCATGTTTCATATGCTTCCACGCCTCCTCCATTGTCATCTCGGCTTCCTCCTCTGGTTTCTTTTGATTCCTTTCTTCATATTGCTCACCTTCATTTGTAATTTCATCATCATCATCATCATCATCTTCATCTTCTCGTTCATCCATGCCATCGTTTTTTTGTGGATTATTTGTTCTGTCTTCCGCTAAATCGCTGTTAGTTACCGCTATTTTCTCTTCATTCATATCTTCTCCTTTCTTTTTTGCTTCTGCTTCTTCAACTTTATCATAATTGCCATTATAGTCATCATATTTAGAGTTATGATTATTGGTATCTTTCTCTTCTTTGTCTCCTTGTCTTTCTCTTTCTTCATATTGTCCAACTTCTTCATCTTCTTCCCCTCCTCCTCCTCCTTTTTCTCCTTCTTCATATCCTTTAACTTCCTCCTCTTCTCCTCCTCCCCCTATTTCTCCTGTTTCATATCCCTTATCTTCCTCATCTTCATCTTCTCCTCCTCTTTGTCCTTCTTCATATTCTTCCCCTGTCATTTCCTTGCCTTCTTTTCCTTCTTTACCCTCTCTTACTTCTTCTGCCATCTTCACTCTCAAAGGCCTTGCTTGGACCAGTTCCTGCTGAGGCTGCCAGCTCTCTGTAACCAACATCCTACCGTTTATCTGTATTGGCTTGACACGACCCCCAGGATCGTCACCACCTTCCTGCCACCCCTGCGCCTTGGAGACGCCTCTGTCTTGGGAACAAAATTGAAGACCTTCCCCGCCACTTCTACAGTCTTCACTCCATTCTTTGGCCATCACTACCAGCACCTCAGGATCTCGAAAATCACCATTTGTACTCTTTGCCATTTGACTGTCTGCTTCTGAACTTGCACTGATGACTGTTACCTCAGGTCCCTCTGAGCCATCATTGACTCTCTCATCTGAGAAATCGGTAGAAACATGTTTCATCAGTTCATAAATGGACACATTTGTAAAATTTACATAAATTTGTTTTCTAATGGAAATATATAGTTGTTTCTTATTAATATAGAATACATTGTATAACTTTAACTACTGTCCGTGTAATTACCCAAATCAGAAATAAGCAAAACGAGTAACTACAAAAGCTAGCAATTACCAAATGTAATGATTACTAAAAATTAGTATGGCCATTTTCTCAATTTGACAGAACTGGAAATGTTTTTTTCAAGAAAGTAAACATTAGGTTACATTAGTGTTAGAGTTATTAGTCTTGAAAGGAAATAAACTGGCATGGCTAATCTTCATGTGATTCATTTTAGTGATCATAAAGTGGCAGCACACTGGGCACTTTCCTCCAAACATTTTACCCGTTTTACTGCCCCTTGGCCAAAATGCCCAACGAGCCGCAGGATTTTGGCTGTTGCTAGAAATGGACAACAATTTGTCAGGGATCTATGCTGGCCAGATTAGTGCTCAAATGAGCTTCATATAATTTCAAGTAAAAATTTAAATAATGATAATTTTAAATATAACACATAAACGGTGACATATTTCTATTTATTTGTCACTTTAAAACATGGTCTCCTTTGACCAGCCATCCTCCGCCACTTTAAAAAAAAATTCATGACGCACCAATTTGTATTTTCTTTAGCTTTTGCAGATGCCTCACTTGCTTCAGCAATTGAAGAACGATAGCACAATCCTGCAAGGCCTCAACTGTAGTATCGGGATCAAAGGTGAACCTCGTCTCAACGATTTGTTGTTGTTTTCGTTGTGTTGGACAGATGTGCCAACAAAACATCCTAGTGTGACACAAAACATATCTTTGTTTTGCTGGCCGGTGGACCGTTTTGCCAAACATGTTTGGAGGAAAGTGCCCAGTGTGCCACTGCCTTAAGGCCCTGGTAGTCTTGGTAAACAACACCTGGATGCTGGACACCGCAGTACGGGGTCTGAGTTCTGACAGAAAAAAACGTGCTATGGTTCTTCTCCCTCTCTCTCACACACACATACACACAGTCACACCCACACATATAATAATAATGGTTGCCCTTCGTGTTCAAGGATGGCCAGCCCTAGGGCCACCTAGGTGTGAATTTGTTTAAAATGTAGAAGCTCTCGTCAACACAACAAACACCCTATGTTAATGAGGTGCATGACCCTGTGTTAAGAAATTTTCGAAGAAGACCGGTCAGCTCCCCAAATGCACTGGCTAACCATTACCCCAGAACACGCTCTGCAAATCAGTTAACATCCAGGTCCCCAATTACTGCTGGGTAGACAGGCAAATGCCATAAAGAAACTTGCCCATAGTTTCACCTTCCCCGGGAATTAAATCCGGGTCCGCTTGCTTGCAAGGCGAGCATGCTGACCATTACACCACAGGTCGCCACACATATCTCCCCCCCTAAACACATGCCTCCATCCCTCTGACAATGTGTGTAAAATTAGTCATTGCAAATAGGCTAAAGTTCTACCTCAATTAGTATTGTTATTTTACAAATATAATTTAGGCATATATATAAATTAAGTATTTTGTCTAACTACTATAATGTGCATGTGCATGAAAACAGTTTATTTCTCTTTGCCTAAAAATGGATATACAAGTACTGTAGTAAAATAGAAACCCATCACTTGTGAAATAGTGGAACCTAACACAACCTACCTAAACCATAATTTTCCTAATCTAATCTAACCTAATCAAATCTAACTTAATTTATTGTGATTAAACTCAAGTTGTCCTAATCTAACTTAGCCTAATCTAACCTAACCAAATCAAACCAAAGCTAACATAACCTTACCTTTCTAACCTAGCATATCCTAATCTATAACCTACCCAAACCAATTTACTAGGCTTCTCAATAATCTTCAACTCCAGTTATTCCTATCATTTTTTATAATAATCTGTAACATAAAATTCATTTTGCAAATTTTGACTAAAGTTTCATTATGTGAACTTATTAAAATTTATATAGCTAAGGTTAATTTCTTAAATATAACAGGCCTGAATTAACTACATGATTCTATATATAATTATTATTATTATTATTATTATTATTACTTTTACTTTTTTACTTTACTTTTATCCTCTTCCACTGATCGGCTTGTTAGCCGCTTGGGCGATCGGTCGACTCTTTTCCTTTATATTCTTCACCAAAGGTCGGCTCCTAACCTCGATCGGTCACGTCTCTGTCACACTGTTGGCAAATACTGGGCATGCACCGGCTCCTGAATGTACCTGAACCCGCTCCAGTGTTGGTCAAGTCTATTATTATTATTATAATTATTATTATTATTATTATTATTATTATTTATTGTTTATTATTATTATTATTATTTATTATTTATTATTTATTATTTATTTATTATTGTTATTATTATTTATTATTATTATTATTATTAACAACCGATTCTCGAGAATTTTATCTTTGCAATCATTAGTTAAGACAGTTTTCTTCTATGACGTTTCCCTCGCAAAAATTTTATTGTTATTATTCGCCGTTTAATTAAAGATATACTCGGTTGGTCACTTTAATACCACGATAACACCTTTAAGCTAGGAGTCCATATATGCTTTAATCGCATTCAAAGTCATTTAATTCCTGCATTTAAACTCGTTCATGAAGCTGTTTATTTACACCCATTTTCTTTGTTGCGATAAAAGAAAATTGGGACTCTTTCACGGGAGGACTTCTCTACTTTATATTATGGTTGTAAGATAAAGCAATTATTTTACTTTGTGGTATTTATTTTACTTTATACTCTTTACCACTTATCGGCCTCTTAGATAGATAGATAGATAGAGAAGCAGACAAACAGATGGATATGTAACTCACGGATAACTTCATCTATACTAGTTATAGTTAATTCACTGTATTCAAAAGGGTTATCGTACTCAAGTTAAAATTGATAAATATTTATAGAGATAAGCTTAGATAACTCATACACATGTAAATATTGATGTAAACAATGCGATAAAGCCTTATAAAAAGTTCGATTTGGATACAGTAAATCCCCCTCTGCGAGTTAATTGTTTCATATGACTGCAAGCCGGTCCGACTAATCACCCAAATGTAGCCGCAATGAAGTCAAATAATGGTCCTACATGAATAAATCGGACTGCCAACCACTTCTCGAATAGTATCTGGTGTCACGGAGTCACAAAAAATTGGTAAACTTAATTTAATCTGAGTTGTGTTAGGTTAGGTTAGGTTAGGTACATGCACTCGATCTATTAACTCATATTAAATTAAGTTTACCAATTTTTTGTGACTTCGTGACACCAAATACTAGTCGAGAAGTGATTGGCAGTCCGATTTATTCATGTAGGACCATTATTTGACTTCATTGCGGCTACATTTGGGTAATTAGTCGGACCCCTGCAAGCAATTACTGCCGCCTTGTATTATGACAGTTTTATTACAGATATGATCCGTGTGTATGCTATACAATTAATCTTGTGTAAAAAAGGCAAAGCTCAAGTGTAACCTATGCAATGTACGTGATAATGTGACCCGGGAGTAAAGAAGACAAATTGCTTCACAGGGTCAACCAGTGGATTCTTGGAAATCACGAGTCACGACTTGTGATACACAAACACACAATGAACCAGTGAGCATGAGCAGACAGAGCAGATGGTTATTTCACTCACATTTAACCACCAGAGGTCTCGGGTCAAAGACTCAAGTTACAGAAGTTACCAGTTTAGAAAAACCGCGGGAGCTAACATCTTTGAAGTAAGACTGCGAATGGGATAAAGGAAAGTAAACAGTTGTGAACCCTTGGAATATCCTGCAGACCATCACTGCATCTTGTTCAGATATATTCAAGAGTCCATTATTTGCCAACAGTGTGTAAGAGAGAACTGACCGACAGCTCGACCTGCCAGTTAGCTGACAAGTGGCAAAGAGGGTAAGTAACCATCAACAGTGATCACAAAGGTAAGGGAATTCACTTTTATCTGGAAATATTCGAATATATTCCTTGTCTTCATCGACTAGCAAACATCATGCAGGACAGTGTAGATGTTCAGTCCTGAACAGTTATTCACGACCCTGAATTGTTGATCATCGATAGAGTTATTTATCTTTTGAGATTTTAATTAAAATTATCAAGGATTTGAGCCATTATTAACCTAGTTACGTGCTTAAAGACCTTAGTTGTTGAAGTGCAGTAATAATAATATAACGTCAACGACTTGCGAGAGGCGATCATCAAGCATTAGGCAGGACAAATCAGTGTACAATCCTTGAGCCCTGCCTATGTACTGTATGTGGTAGTGGTAAAGGTACTATTACTGAGTATATAGTGTCACTAGCCCTTAATATGTGTGTAATAGCGACATTAGCCCTGACTATAGTCATAGAACCACTAGCCCGCCCGAATCACTTACCCAGTATTATAAAGTTAAGGTCACTGGCTTGACACCGTCGTCCAGAATACAAATAAATGCATAATACAAGTAAGTGAAATTCATCCAGGCTCAGTGTTGTGTTAGATGAGTTTGAAGCAAGTTTAGTCTAGCACTGGAGGGGGAGAAAGCGACGGGACAGCCGGTGCTTCTCCTTTGCAGAACTTAAGCATTCTCCACAGCCACCATAAGACCCATCTCTCTGTGCCACTTCTCTGGGTAGGAAGTCTCTTTACAAACTGGACGTCGTGTTGGCCTCTTTTGTGTCGCAGGTTCAGTGAGCCAGGCAGTAGCGTTCCCACAGCACCAGAAAGGGCAAGAGGATCACCTGTTGAGTTACGGCACAGCACATCCTTGTCGAAATTAAAAGGAGACTTAAACGCAAGTTAGAGTATAAATGTGAGAATCTTTGAGGAAATGGCAGGATAAGTATTGTTTTATCCATGAAGTCGTGTTTTAAGTCTTCTTTTTTTTGCGTGGTAACGAGTAAACTGTGGTAGAATAGGCAAAGTATTGGGTGTGGTGGTGAGGAGAACTAATAGCGGATGGTGGTTAACCTGAGGGGGAGAGCTAGTACCCCATGGTCTGAGACAAGTTGCTCGCTTAATTAGGACTTATAAACTGACAAGTGTTTCTGGGTCGCCAGTAAACTTATTTTGTGGCGAAAAATGTCGATTAATTTTGTGAATGAACGAATATCTCTATTTTTTCTGGTAAGGTTTCTTTGATGAACATTAAGCTTCCTTTTGTTATTCATATTTTACATAAACAACATTGTAACAGTGTACTGAGGACGGGCTTTTAAATCAGTTAATTTTGAGCATATACTGTAAGTGTTACTTTATTAGCCAATTTCCCTACATGGCAACCACTGCCAGACGAAGAGTTGTATAGAAGGCGTATACATCTCTCTCTCTCTCTCTCTCTCTCTCATCGTATCTGCAGGTACTTTATCCACGTTCATATTCATACTTTTTTGCGGGGTGGTGGGAATTAGGAGCAGCACAAGAAGGCAGTGTGGCCACACTGTATTCGACCGCCTTCACTTTTTTAAATGAAAAATTAAGGGCCCATTCGTAAGTGGATGAGCTAGCGGCCCTTAGGAGAGGAATTGATTACTCTACCCACTCACCGCTGAACCCCTTATCGACTAAACTAATCACGATAAAAAAAAAGTCAGTATCTTACCTCGTACGCTGGCTGGAGTGGCGATCGTCGCTGATGAGAACAGAAGCAACACCACCACACACGGTTTACCTATTGATATCATCCTCACCTCCGTCTTATCGTCCGGTGTTGACTGGAAACTCTCTTTCTTCTTTACACCCGAATATCGTCATTTGTTGTGAGACAGTCTTGTTAGTTCACACCAAATGAAGTGTCTTTAGATAACTGGGAGAAGATATGTAAAGTATTAGTATTAATCTTCGGATGATAAAGTTTTTTGTCTCATCCCTGTAATGTTAATGTCACTTCTACTTGTTTTAAGTGTTACTAACATTGTATTGTATTATTTGTTTAGTTCTATAATTAATATTAGTGTTATTCTTGTTCCACAGGCACTTATATAATCCACAAGTCTTCATCTACTGTTACTACTACAACTACTGCTGCCACTACTATGCCAGGAACGGTATCTCGGCTTCATCCTTACGTAAGATTAAATTACTGTATCTTGGTACGTTGATAAACTCATAAGCTCAAATGCTGGGTATTAAAATGGAATGTTTGTGATTAGAATAATGCATAACCATATAGTTTATTCAGCCAACACTGATTAAGTTATTTTGATAAACAAACATCTCGGGCAAAAATTCCATCGTGATGACGCCGTATTCGAAAAATCACTTCGAGAAACGTGGTAATCATTAACACCAAACCCGCACACTGACAATAGGCTAAATAATACCAAATTAAAAAAAAAATATTATTTTTTCAAGAATGATTTTTTTGCTTTTGCTCAATATTAATAAAATAAAAGGAAATCCCATACAGCAAGAACCATTGCAAATTTCCTCCAACAATGACGAGGGGACTATTGATTGAATTTTAGTACCTCTTATTTCCCCGTCCAATTACTGTGATGCAGAGGAATAGTAATACAGACCCAGTACCACTAACTACATAGGAGCTGTTAGGTTGGGTTATCCTGGTGAAAGCGACTTTTATTCCTGCACTGTTATGTATATATAGTACGTACACATTGCATATTGTACTGCCTGTTACTTTACAATGTACATTGTTTGTATACTTAAACTATATATATTCATTGTTTGCATACCTGCACTCTATGCATACTTTGCGTATTTTACTTCCCACGAGAATACAATGCCCACTGTACGAATCACAATCTATGGCCAGCGTTCAGGGATATCTGAAACAGTTTCTACAAGAAGTTAACACACATCTCCACTTACTCTATATTCTACAAGAACCATACCTTTTTCATTATTTTGCGGAGAAACAGACAAACATTCACTTTATACATCCACATTTGCCTCGTGGATGTTGTACTGTTGCACCTTAACTAAGATTTATCAGCGCGTAGATTTAATACGTACACTAGTCAATAACATTTAAAAACTTAAATAAATGGATCTCTTGTGCTGAACACCTAGAGAATAGACGAGTAGTGCGTACCACCTCGCCCCGCCGACTCCAGTTCAGCACTAGACATGGCTGCTCCTGCTGACAGTTATATACTGACCTCGAAACTGACCTGCTCCTGCACCTCTTGTTTATGCTCACACGTGTTTGTCTGTTTTAGCTTCATGATTACATGGTGTACATATCTTGTACAAGGTTCTTCTTCTTCTATCTGCTGGATAAATAACGCCTTTGCTACACTATCACTCTAGTACCTGATTCATTTAACAAATTTACTAAGTTTTTCGTTAAAATAAGTTCATTTAGGAATTGATATACATCCTAGATAGATAGATAGATACAAGGTAAAATCGTCATATATAAGTTTACATTGATCCAGCTTATATTGTATATACATAGTGCAGTCGGCCTCATGAACACACACACACAGACACCACGCTCTTCCTGCACACAGACGCAAAGCCAGTTTTTGTAACTTAACAAAAAAGGTTTCCCATGATGCTATTTTTTTGGTTTTTCTTTTGTGTTGCACTAGATTTTACTCAGGTAATTTTTTTTTTATCCCTGGCAAATATGTAGGTCAGTTGTTGAAGTCTTCTATTTCATGGTGGCAGTGACCGTGAACCATGTCAGGTGGCTAGTTGATCGTGACTTTATGACCTGTGATAATGATAATGATATTGTTGTAACAGCATCTCTCTCTCTCTCTCTCTCTCTCTCTCTCCATAACAACATTTGTTTCTCCCTTTTTTTCGTTGTCATTTTCTCTCACAGAATCTTGATGACATGATAAGATAATAAAAGTCGAGGCAGTTTAGTTTAACAAATTTATTGACAAAGCTTGGAGTACAGTTTGACTATTTTGAGTAATTCAGTCAGGTCTTGACACTGAGGGTGGTATCACTTCTCACTGCCACGCAGGACAGAGGTTCATACACAAAGAAATATATCATATTCATTAACAGCTATATGGAGGCAGACGTAAACAAAAAATGAAACATGATAAGGTTAGGTTAGGTTAGGTTCTTTCAAGGGGGCAGGGATTGAAAGGTACTACTTAAATTAATCCCAATACTTGATATATTAGAACCACCTGAGATTTGGAAATAAAGGTAAAAAAAATGGAACACGGAAACTGGGATCATGTTAATTTGGGTTATCTAATCTCCCGGTAATCTTCAGGTTCAGGTAAACTTAATCTGTATTTTTAATATTACGGTCAGCTAGAGAGCCAAATATATTAAAGATCCAAGATGGCCGATATAGGAGCTTTAAAAAAAATAAGATTGGTTTTAGAGTCCAAGTATATCCTAAAATATTCACGTTGAACACTATAAACCGGACTACTTGTGATTATATCCATAACTCAGTAGTATTTTCCTTTTGTTAATATTTTTGTGAGTTTATTATATATCTGGCCAAAACGTTGGGCATTGTTTGACGTACAGTGTGTGTGTGTGTGTAGGTCAGCCACCACAAGCTGCCCACCTCCCGGGTCAACACACACCAAGTTTTTTCTCTCCCAGACCCGAATACAAAGGAGTTTTTTCCTCCTCCACTTGTTGTTCTTCTTCCTCGCACTTTTTCATACTCGGTTCCTTTAATTTTCTTCATTCCTGCCCCGTTACCATGACACGACACCATCCACAGATTAATGGCTCCTTTTTGCCGAAATGAATAATGACATCATCTTTTTATTTTAAATTTTCTTCTACTTCAGTCACTTCTTGTTTGAGTTAGCTCGTCCGTCATGAAGGTGTTACCCGCTGTGTTGGTGACCCCCTTATCTCTCTGCCTGTTACCTTTACCACTACTCCTCTCCCAGTACTTTCTTAACGGGTAGGTAGTTAAACAAAAACTTTAAAATGAAAAGAGAATTAACATAAGAGAGCGAATGTAAGAGACACAGAACATAGTAACAATAAGAGAAAACTAACACAAGCTACAAGTAATGTTATGTGAGAGCCGTGTTCTAGTTCCTCGTGCCTGATGCATATGACGAAGGCGCCTGGTGCGTGTGAAGATTTTGTGGAGGTGTACAATCGAACATTTTAATCCCAATAAGTGTGTACAGCTTGGCTTTTATCTGCAATGGCGATTAAGTTTGATATATTGGGTTTCCTGTATAAGCTTAACCCAGTCCAGTACTGATAGAGAGAGGTAATTGGGTCATGTTTTGCCGTGATGATCAAGTTCAGCCCTGTGTGAACGACGCAGAAAAACTGGTATCAAAAGTGAAGGGAAAAAACAGAGGAACTCCCCATTAAAAAAAGAAAAAAAGAAAAAGAAAAAACAACCCACGTAATCCAGACAGTCGTGTGGAGGGGGTGGGGGTGTATGTTAGACAGCTTTGAATTATCGTAGGTTATTGTTGTGTCATTCCGCTCCTCTGGTCGTCTTAAATTATTTTGTTAATATTATTCTTTTTTTTTTGCAATTACAAATCGTCTGTCATGTACCTGTAGTGTTTTGACTCAGCAGTCTCAAGAGTTGGTGTGGATGTCTATTGTTGTCTTGTTGTCAAACGCACCTAAACAACTTTTTTTTTTCTTTAGGGGATGGGACTTTAGGGGGTGAGAGGTGGGTTTAATGTTCCCGTTAGAGTATTAACTGGATAGCAGGTCAAAGAGAGAGATTTTACTGGGTCAGAGGTCAAGTGCTAGAAGGATCCATTTTTAAGGGGTAAAAAATAATATCAATAATACACATTGACTTAACAATAACTGGATACGTTGTTCACACAATCTTGGTGAACCCGGATCCAGCATCTTCTGTCTGTTCAGGTCGGTTTTGTGTCATTACGTTTCTCTTATCTAACAATTAAAATGTTGTGGAGGGGCAGCCAGGCAGAACACTTCAGGTGCTCTTACTGCCTCCCGACACTTGGTGGGTGGAACTTACATCTAAGGGATATTTTCTCAATCACCTAAAAAATAGGCCGTTAATTTTACCAAAGTTGACACGATACTGTGGGTGTGTGTGGATGTGTTTAATGTTGTGCGTCTGTGTGTACGTGTGTATGTGTGTTCTGTGTAAAGGTAATTAAATATATGTGGTATATAACGGATGATAAAAATTACAGATTTTTTTTAAAGATAAAAACCGACTAGTTTTTCTTTACTGTTGACAGATAAAACGATATATATATATATATATATATATATATATATATATATATATATATATATATATATATATATATATATATATATATATATATATATATATATATATATATATATATGGCCTTGGATATCTTATTTATATCCTTATCAAGTATCATAAAGCATAGACGCCGAGTAGATATCAGATAACAAAAGAGTTGCTGGGTGTGTGTGTACTGCACTGTACTGTGTGGGGCAGCAGTAAGTTAACATACTCGTATGTCAACTCAGATACTTAAAGACGGGATTAGTCAAAAACAGTTTTAAGCTCTTATCAAAGACTCACTACTCCCCTGAGGTATTCACGCTCTCACATACTCACATTCTTGACGACGTTATTCGTGTGGCAAGATTGAGTTCCTCCTGTACTGAAGCGAGTTGACGACGGGCCTTAATACATATTTAGTTTTCTCGTCCGCAATTGACATCTTGATCTACCCAGTGCTGTTCTCTCTTAAAAAGTGCATGACGAAGAGACACTCTGTAGCAAGGATTAGTGTGCAGTGTGCAAGATCTATGGACGTATACGTATTGATTTTACCAAGGACAACTTAACTTCTCAAGGACCACGTATTTACCAAGGACCTCGTGCACTGCAAGGACCCCGTCCCCGTATGTACCAAGGACCCCGAATATACCGTATAAAGAACCCTGTGTATACGAATGGCGCCGTATAAAACCCGGCAGTAGAAGTAACCGATAGCTGTAGTACATCCCTGCCAGGAAAGTGGAAATCGTTTTGCATCCCTGTCTGTTGTAAGGAGGTGGACGTAAGTGTTATCGTTGATTGCTGGGTACTGCTTATTACGATAGGGAAGTAACTCACTCTCTGTGACTTCAATAAACAAGGTGCTTTTAAGATAGCCTTTCAGAGATGATTATCAGCACTTTTCGGGTGGTTTAAATTAGTTACATATTGTCCAGTAATCTAGTGGTTATCATTCTGGGGTAAAGGCAACTTGTGATATCAGAATCATGGTACTCAATATGCACCACAAAATCTTGTCATATTCGTCACCATGTTGATTTTTTTTCCACAATGTTGATCCATTACAGACAAGCCCAGAAACATAAGAGCACAGACCGAGGCTTGATTACTGAAGCAAGATAGTACTGTGCTGTATTTACTGGAAGAAAGTCGTCTCAGTACTTAAGGTTGTGTATGTATGTATGTATGTATGTATGTATGTATGTATGTATGTATGTATGTATGTATGTGTGTGTGTGTATTGTATGTACTGTATGTATGTATGTATGTACTGTATGCACTGTATGTATGTATGTACTGCATGTACTGTATATATGTATGTATGTATGTATGTATGTAAAGTATATGAGAGCATTATAAGAGATGACATGATGGAACATTTACTACGAAACAACCTTGTAAGGGATTGCCAGCACGGTTTTATGCCGGGGGGCTCCTGCTTAACACAATTACTCAAGGTACTGGATATTTCTTTTTTCTTTTATCCTTTTCACCAAATGATCGGCTCGTCAGCCGCTTGGGCGATCGGTCATGTCTCTGTTACGCACTGTTGGCAAGTACTGGGCATGCACCGGCTCCTGAATGTATCTGAACCTGCTCTAGTGTTGGCCAAGTTTTGTTTTGAAAGAGTTCACACTCGGTGCCGTCACAACACTTTCTGGTAGATTGTTCAAAGAGTTCACAACTCTCAATCCGAAAAAGGTTGCCCTCACAGTTTTCTGGACTTGCGGCTTCTTCAATCTTGAGCTGTGATCCCTTGTGGGACGAGCGTCCGCCAGCTCCAAGTAAGGACACTCGACAGAGTAGTGCCCCTTGAGATGCTTATACACCTCAATTAGGTCGCCTCTTGCCCGTCTGTAGTATAAGCTTGGCAAGTTCAGGCGCTCCAATCTCTCAGGGTAGTTGAGGTGCCGAAGTGCAGGCACCAGTCTGTTAGCCCTCCTTTGAACATTTTCAACCAACTGACAGTCCCTAGCATATCTCGGGGACCAGATGGGGAAGCACTTCACTCCTGAAGATCGTCACGAGGGACGGACCGTCTAGATATCTGAACGACCTTCTTATAAGACCCAATAATTTATTTGCCTGATTTACCTTCTTCTCACAATGGCCCGAGAACTTCAACTCATTGTCAAAATACACACCTAGGTCCTTCTCACACACAGTCTCAACTAGTACATTTTCTTCATCCCGTTGGGACATATGATACGCCTCCTTACCGTTGGTACGCCCCAGGTGCATCCTCTTACACTTCGTGACATTGAATCTCAGCAACCATTCCTTCGACCATTCCTGGAGCCCACAGAGGTCCTTCTGCAGCTCTTCACAGTCCGCTTGGTTCTTAATTTCCCGAAGTAACTTGCCATCATCGGCAAACATTTGTATGGAGGAGTGTACAACGTCAGGCATATCATTTATGAAACAAACAAACAACAGCGGGCCCAATACACTACCCTGCGGTACCCCACTTGTTACAGGTACAGATGACGATTTCGTGCCATTAATCACCACACATTGCTTGCGGTCATGTAGAAAGTCTTCTATCCACGCTAGGACATTTCCCCGAATTCCGTACCCTTCCAGTTTGATTTTCAGCCTTTCGTGGGGTACACTGTCGAAAGCCTTGGCAAAATCTAGGTAAATATTGTCGATATTACCACCCCGTTCTAGAATATGGGTCCAAATATCCAATACCTTGAGCAATTGTGTCAAGCAAGAGCGCCCCGGCATAAAACCGTGTTGGCAATCTTTTACAAGGTTGTTTCGTAGTAGATGTTCCATCGCGGCATCTCTGATAATACTCTCAAGTACTTTACATATTATGCTGGTCAGGCTCACCGGTCTATAGTTGTTCGTGGAGTGACTATCGCCCTTCTTGAAGATAGGACTCACATAAGCCACTTTCCATTCACTGGGGACCATTTGTTCATCCAGGCATTTACAAAACAGAATCTTCAGGGGCTCTGCAAGCTCGTTGCACAGCTCTCTTAGCACTCTAGGATGCACCATGTCAGGTCCAGGACTCTTATGGACCTTTAGCCTGGACAGTTTATTTCTAATACCCTCTTCTGTGAACACAATGTGGGTCAGTGCTGTGTCGAACCGTCTGTCCTCAAACGCAGGAAGGTTAGTTGCATCCTCTCTTGTGAACACTGAGGAAAAGAAGCTGTTCAATGCCTCAGCTTTATCCTGGTCAGAATCTGCGTAACTACCATCTTCAAGCCTCAGGTCTGATACTCCTACTCGCGTTTTCAATTTCGACTTTGCATAGCGGTAAAACGCCTTTGGGTTTGACTTGACCTCGCGTGCAACCAGCCTTTGGAACTCCTTTTCAGCCCTCCTACACTCTATCTTTGCTTGGTTTCTGGCTCTTGCATACATCCTCCTGTCTTGCTCATCGTTTGACCCAACCCACGTCTTGAATTTCTGGGTTTTCTTCTTAATTTTGTCGACCGCCGCATGGTTCATGTGTAGGGATCCCCTCGTATTCCTAGAAGCACTGGGTTTGGTCTTGGGTATATATTTATCGATCAAATGGGTCATTTTACTAGTTATGATATTCAGCGTAGTGTCTGCGTTCTTGTACCTTAATAAGTCAGGCCAGTTGATACCCCTCATCTCTTCCCTCATCCCATTGTAATTTCCCTTGTAATATTTGCACCTTGGCCTGGCCTTATCTTGAACTAGGTAACAGTTAAATCTGAATGACAACACTGTATGGTGACTGGTGCCAACTGGGGCAAGGTGTTCCAGTTTGGCCACCATACCCTCCTCGTTTGTTATGATGAGGTCAAGTGGCTTGGGTGTTTGCTCCCCTCTGTAATGTGTCGGGTCTCTCACATGTTGGAACAGAAAATTATCTCTCAGAGTTTCTACAAAAAGAGTAGCAGGATTATTCAAGTCATTCGGGGTGGACTCGTTTCTCCAGTCGATGTCGCCGTAGTTAAAGTCCCCCATGATAAGGAGGTGGCTGGGGTTGAGCATCGCCGCATTGTTTATTAAGGTTCTTAAGTTCCTTTGATTTAGTGGGCCACAGTTTGGGGATCTGTAGATACACCCGACGATAAGTAAGTCCCCTCCCTTTAATTTAATTTTACACCACTTGGACTCTTCAAAAACATCCTCTCCCTGTACCCTCGCCTGGCTGGCTCTAAGGTCTTGCCTAGCGTAGATAACCACACCCCTCCTGCAGGATTCTTGAGTTAGGTTCGTAAATGAGTCATATCCAGCAATACTGAACTCACATTCCTCTGGGTCGATTCTCCTGTTCTTGTACAACAGTTCTACAACTCCTACAATATCTGGTTGGTGTACTCTTAGTAGTGTTTCAAACTCCTCTCTCTTATCAAGGAACGTGTCAGTATTAGTGTACATGACATTCAAGCCAGAATTTGTTCTCGGTAACGTCTCTGCTCTTAGTAATAAACCCGCTCCACCCACATTCTCAGAAGCTGCAGCATTTGCTAAGTACACTGTATTTTGCAGGGTGTGGTTAAAAATGTCATTGTTTACACGGCGCTCGTTCCCTCCTGTCCGGTAGGCTGAGCTGGTGCCGCCTCACGGGTGGGGGGTTGAGTGGGTGGAGGGTGCACTGCTGCCCCCTGGCCCTGTGTCGGCACACTTGTTTCCACTACCCTCCCCCTGAGTATAACCCATGTGCACCTGTCCCCGTTCCTCCTCGACTCCTCCCTCTTCTGTTTCAAGTCCTGCAGGAGTTTCTTGTGCTGTTCCCTCTGCATTACCGTGCGGTCTGGGTGAATAAATACATCCCGAAATGCCTCGCTCCTTGCTAAGTTTTTTGCCTGCCGGATAACTTGCCATTTCTCCTCCTCACTCACTAGTGTGATCCTGAGGTGGCGAGGCTTATCCCCCTGCTTTTGTCCCAGTCTCCTCACATCCTGAGGGGTTGCTGGAATCTTCAGAACCTCTGTGCAAATATTTTGAAACAGCACCTTGTCGTGTGTTTCCTTACTCACAGTTCCCTCTGCCTGGCTCTCTGGGACTCCAAAAACTATTACATTGTTCCTGCGCTGGAGCCGTTCCTGGTGTTCCTCCTCTCCCCTAACAGTAGGTGCGTTAATTTTCATATCTTCGACACACTTTTTCAGAGTCCCAATCTGCTGTAGAACCTGTACTGATTCTGCATTACTCTCCGCCCCCACCCCCCCCCCCGTGGTCCTCCTAATACGTCAGCATAACTCCTCTTAGCAACCACCTCCATTCTATTAGCTACTTCCTCAGTCTTAGCAAGGATCTCTTTCCCAACTTGCTCCAGTTTGTCAACCAGCCAAGTCCCTCTCCATTTCTTACTTCTTTCAGATCAGAGTTCATGATTCTGACTTGAATGTTAAAGTAATTTATCACAGTTTATTCTAATGCTATACGTATTTATTATGCACAGTCACATATCTACTGTACATGACTAGAATACTGATGATCGGTTGCCGTGTGATTTTATACGGCACCACCCCCAACTTCCAAGGTCAGCTCTCACTCCTCTCCTTGATAATCACCTGATTGTGTAAGATTTCGAGGAAGTTCCCTGTTCTATGCCGGCGAAAAACTTTGATTACTCATCAACAAATATTTCATATTTTTGGTGTTGAGTCCATGTACGTAAATATTTAAATGTTTGACGGTCGAATCGTGAAATATTTTATATTGTGTCGTAACAAGAATATTCCAGTGATGGTTGAATACGTCGTATTTTGGAGTAGAATGCTCCCCAGCAGGCCAATCAGTAGGCAAAACGGGTAGGCTGTGGCTCCATGACGGACCAATCAGAGACCAGGAAAAAGCAGACTGTAGTAGAAACAAGGAATGTCTAATAAGGAAGCACAACTCTCACACACACACAGAGTAAACTAAACAAATATGACCCAAAGAAAACGAGTTCAATTGCTATCATAGAAAACAATTTTTGTTTTACAAGTAATTATTATTCTCTTACGTTCTGTCGTAATGACACAAAATTATTTAACAATTAACGAACTAACTAAAATGAAAGTGGCAGGGTAAAGGATTTCGTTGGCCACACCATCACAATAAAGATTCGAAGAAAGAAGAGTAAGTTAGTGGGAGAGTTGTTTGGAGAAAAGTAAAGATAACTTGAGCCGGCGACCTTAGATATCATCTAGAATTTTAAATTACTGTGTAGCGTTTTAATCTCTTTGCAGACAGACAAAGAGCTATACCCACGTTGAGCCAGTATGTAATCTAATGTTGTGGTTAGATATATACATATAAAATTAAGTAACCATACTGACTAAACAATCATGTACGTCCCAATGGCAACAGTGTCGCCATCCTATCATTGAGGAGTACAACTATAAGGGATACCAAATGTTACCAACCTGCGCCCAGCTAAATACTTCCTTATTAGATATTCCTTGAGCAGAGGCTAGTGTTTACGTCCCCGGCCTTCTAAGTTCTGCGGAGCCTACAGCCCATCGTAAGTCAGCCTCCCTTAGTATCACTTACCATTGATATATGTAACGGATGGCCAAGAACCAAACGTTTCTCTTTGTTTTTTATATATGAGGAATAAGATTGAGGCCATGACAAGGTGACAATGAACGAGGTCGGAACTGTGGGGTTAAAATCCACCAACAACCCTTAAGTTACCCAGGAAATAGACAAGTACTTGAGTAATGAAATATGAATCTTTATTATAATTACGGGTGTTGTGTTGTTTTAGCGTCTTCATCTAAGTATTTGTTTTTATTGTAAATGATTTAGTTTTTCCACAGCAGGTATTTTTTATGAGTATTTTATCAATCTGGAACAATCCACGGGATATTAGTACGGTATTTTTCTTCTACAACTTCACACCAGATGAACCTTTGGTGCTTTTGAGAGTTGAAGTACCACTGAAATATGCCACATTTTGCAAGAAAGGGTCCAAGAATATTCAGTAATATTGCAGTAAACAGCTTCCACAGAAGTTAGGTTAGGTTGCTGTAATCTGCAATTTTACCGAATTTTCTATGATACTGGCTAAGAACAGAACTACCACCAGAAGTTTTTGATTTTGTTCACATTTTCCAACATTTACTAGACCCTAATAGAACCTGACCTAACCAACCAGAGAAACCTACCTAACCTAACTTCTGTTAATATTCGTCCATTGGCAGTCTGCAAGTTTCCAATTTTCAATATTTCAGACACAAAGACTATAAAAAAACAAATATATGACATCATATAATTTCTTGTGCAAATCAATATTTACGGAGTATCTCACAAATTTCTAGGAGTAATTTTCTGTACTCGCCATGTTGCCAGTCACTTGTCTCCTCTTCACGACATGACAACCAATGACCTTCAAGTATTGTGTCATGTGACTTGGCTGGCCAGTCATTTTGAAGCAGCCTTCCACTGTGCAATTTCAAAATTTGAAGGCTCATGATGGCGAGTAAAAGATGCTTTCCCCCTTATCTAGCTGTTATTCAGCGAGTTTATCAGAACAATAGTGAAGCAATCCAAATATTACAAGATCATGGTGTCCTACCATCATCAAGACTGTCCTAAATGTGGAAACTGTTTAGTTTTAAGAAAAGATAGAAATTCTTCTGTCTGTAACCATAAGCATACCAGATCGCCCAGCTGTATCCTCCACCACAGTAGCAGGTAATCTCTCAAACAAATGGTTAGTTTAGTTTTTTTTTTTTGTGTGTGTGTGTGTTTTATGGTGTTTTTACTCAAACCTGGCTGCCATTTTGGTACCATACCAATGAAAGCAACTTTGTTGAAGCAATATTGTGTAATTTACAAATTTTTGTGTACACTAGGGTTTGCTCGATTGTAAACAAGCTGAGCAGTCGACAACATGTGGTGATTCAGCAGATTTTTCGGAGGAGTATTTACCATAAATAATTAATTTCTTCACATTCAAAGCATGTAGAGATTTAACATTAGTGTCATATGATCAGTTTCTCACCATGTTTTACCCTGCAATTTTCCTCATTCTTCTTGCCCTGCCCACTACAGGTGATTTATGATCTTATAGAAAAAATAAATAAATAAAAATAAATACTTATAATTAAATAAAAAGTTGTTGCCTCTTTTAAAATACTTACTACAATATAATGATAAGAACATCTGTGGGAAAAAATGACCAAAATCGAGCATCTCCTTCTGGTGGTAGTGCTGTTCTCAGAAATTTCCTTTTCTTGTACCACCAAGTATTATATACAGGAACTGTAATAGACTCAGTGTTGCCATAGTAAGTGGTGTGTTCCCTTTAAATCTCTATATTATCATCAAACCCACTTACCGGTGTTAATAGGAATTTTGCTGTGAAAGATTGTCACTAGTCATGTTACTGTTTGTAGTGATAAGCATTGTTGCTTATAAATACATAGAGTAATAAAAAAAAACTGTAAATGATAATATTAATTTAGATTTGCTCAGAGCTAAAGGGCTGCTTGGTATTGAGAGTACAAAACTGGCAAAGTCTTGCAGAGAGGAAAGATTAGAAAGAAAATATGAATAACAACATTTACAGAAAATTGGAATACCAAAATCCAATCCAAGTTTTGTCAAAAGGTGTATAACTTAGTCCTGTGAGTTAAATAATAGTTGGATATATCCTGAGGGTGGCTGTAATTGTCCATGTTGTGAATTTACACAATAGATGTTAAAACTTATATATTAGCTTCATCTCTCTCCTTACAACACAACAGCCACAGCCTACTAGACTTTCCTCTCTCTCATTACAGTGACAACAGTGGAAGGCGGAGACGTAAATGTCCAGAAGGAGATGATGGGTAAACGCAAGTGATAGCGTTTGTGACCCCCCTAATATTAATAGTCTGGCTGGCTGAGAATCTCAATTTACTCTCCTGTGATAATTGCTTAAGCTGTTCACCTCACAGAAAGACAATACAGTATATACTGGTTATGTGATTTTATTTCTTGCTTGTAGTGACACATTCCTTTTATATGAATTTTTTGTGTGGGTGACTCAACATGGTTTTGTTTTGTTTGGAATACTTGTATTTATAGTGGACACTGGTTGTGCAGAATTGGACACTAGAGGAACAGTTTTGTAGAACAAAATTCTAAGAACACTTTATAACTACTGTACTGTACTTTAAGTGAAGTTGACCATCACTGGTATTCTCTGAATTAATACATTCCAAAACTACATACCGGTACTGGGTAATTGTTGAAAATGTGGTCAGCAGCAAATGGTCCCATCAGTGGCAAGCACGGACCCCTCGTGGGTGCCGTTGATCAAGGAACTTCATCTACGCGTTTCTTGGTAAGTTGTTCATTATTATTGTGTCACATACTGTGTAGAATGGGTTAGCCAAGGAAATTTAAGATATTCTGTTTGAGAATTGTTGCAATAGCATTAGTTAGGATGGTGTAGGATGGTGTTTTTCACTTCCTTTTACCTGTATCAAAGCTCCTACTTGCCATCTCTCAAATTCTTATTCATATTCAGTACAGTACTGTCCTCCCATATTGAAAACAGTCAATACCTGCCAGGTGATTCATCTGTATATTCTTGAAACATTTGAATTATGCATCACTTACACATCATCAAGTTTTGAAGACCAGTAGTGATACTGAAGACCTGTGCTTGTCTTTTGGTTCTCATTTGACCAGGGAATTTAAATACTGTACTTTAATGTTGCTGAATAATGACAGTTGTTACATTTATTATTAAAGCTACAGTATTTACTTTTTTTTAACAAACTGGAAAAGTTATGATAGAATGATAGAAGTAATACTGTGCAGATGCAGAAATAATTTGTTAGCTCTTTTTTATATATTTTTTGCCTGTTATTGTGGCTTTTTTACTATGACTCAAATACATTAATGCTGGTATTCCTTACAAAAAAATCCTTGTGCCACTTATTACTTTCATTCGGAGGAATTTTTCTTTCCTCTACTACTTTGCATAAAAAATTCTTTGCACTGGAAAGATAAAATGCTCTATTAGTAGCTCTGTTCCCCCACGAAAAGCAGTGTATCTACAGTTGGTTTATTGGAACCTCATAATTGGCATAAATATAACAATAGACACAGGAAACTGTTTTAAAAATGGTTATCATTATTCAGCACAATCAACCAACATAGTAGACAATGAAATTGTATAAAAAAAGTTTTTGGAGGGGTGGTCCAAATATTTCATTCAAATTCCAACAATTTGTCCTGTTCAAAGGAAGAATCTCACACCATGGAGAGAAGGAATTTTTCTTGAATATGAATTTTATTCAAGGATTCTTTCCAAGTGTCTGTCAGTGGAAAGAATGTTTTAGGAGTACAGTACGGTATTGTACTGTACCAGCATAAGTATTCTCAGTAATTTTCTGCCACGAGACACGAACCTTGCAGCTTTGGAAATTTGGACATAGAAGGCCAGTCATTGGCAATAACTGAGGCAATGTCAACCATCTTACACAAACCTCTGCCACTTTCTTCCGCTAGGTGTTTTCTGCAGTGACGGGAGAAGTGTTGACGTACCATCAAGAGGAAGTGGCTCAACTTTACCCTAAGGAGGGCTGGGTGGAGCAGGACTCCAATGCACTTCTGAAATCTGTCTTGACGTGTATTGAAAAGACAGTCGAGAACCTAAGGTGTGTCGAGTCATATTGATGTGTACTGTCGATTTTCCTTGTAGGTCTTCTTCCTGCTGTATTTAATGCTAATATATATCAGAGGTGTCAGAATAATTTATTCTGGATCAAAAAAAAGATCCTGGTTTGTATACATTTTGAATGAGTTAATATATTTCAATAGCTTTACCACTTCAATTATAAAGTACAGTAGTGTGAATTTATAGACTTATCTTCTTAAATACAGTATTTTAAATATTATATTTGATGAACTGAATGTATGATTACTTGCCTGATAAGATGTCTGGAATTTTTGTCTTTTAATAACAGGACGTTAGAGATTGATCCTGCAGACATCAAAGCCCTTGGGATAACCAATCAGCGGGAGACAACAGTAGTATGGGACAAGACGACTGGAAAACCTCTCTACAAAGCTATTGGTTGGTGCTCTCAAACTTGTAAATTACAATATCAATACCTCTCGCACTCTCTTATGTGTATATATATATATATATATATATATATATATATATATATATATATATATATATATATATATATATATATATATATATATATATATATATATATATATATATATATATATATATATATACATATACATATACTATATATATATTCCTCTGCTTATGACGGGGTTAAGGACCCAAATCCAGGTATTAAGTCTAATTGGTCATAAGTTGAAAATGTGAAAATAATACATAGAAAATCTAAAATGGGTCTCTCTTTCTCTTCTCAGCACCACAAAACTCTCACTTTTAATCTTGCCAGCCATTTTAAATGGAATTACAAATGAAAATTTTTTCAGTACACTGCGCAATCACTGACGTCAGGACTCAAAAATACGTAATTTGAAAAAAAAATTGGTACGACTGGGGCGGTCGTAAGTCGAGTAGGTAGTAAGTTGAGGAGTGACTATACAGTCTCTCCTCGACTTACGACAGGGTTCCGTCCCGACGACCAGGTCGTAAGTCAAATTGGTCGCAAGTAGAAAAGGCGAAAATAAAACATAGAAATTCTAAACTGGGTGTCTCTTTTTCGTCTCCGCACTTGAGAACTCTCACTTTTATGCTTGCCAACCATTTTAAAGGAAATTACAAACAAAAATTTTGTCAGTACACAGCGCGATCACTAACGTCGGGACTCGAAAATACGTAATGTGAAAAATATTTTATACGACCGTGGCCGTCGTATGTCTGGGTTGTCGTAAGTCGGTATATGTCATAAGTCGAGGAGAGACTGTATACAGTATAATTATTCAATGCGTATATAGTAATCTCTTGGTTAGCCAGAATCTTTGATCTCCAGAGTCCTCCAATAGCCCACAAAAATTAGCATTCTGAGAAATTGGGGGTAAAATCTCTCCAGTCCTGGACATGGGAATGAACTTCCAAAGTTTGCTTCATACGCATTTCTGGAAAATTCCAAGAAAATCTCCCTATTCCGGGCATGGGAAAGTATCTCCAAGAGTTTGCATCATCTTTCCAATGTGATTGCCGGGTGTGTGCTCAGAATGCTCATGAGTTACGATTGGCCATTATTGTCATGTACAGTAACTGCATGAAATGCCTATGATTGAGTGATGTATCTCGCAGCCTATCTCCTCAAACTCTTGCATCATAATGCTTTTAGTTCCTTGTCTGCTGTCATTGTACAAGCTTGTTCGGTCTCTCTGCTGTTTTCACATACGATCTCTGTTTTGTCGTACAGTACTGTTCATTACTATACCAACCAAACATACTGTTAAGGCAGTGTTACCGTAAGACGTAAAAAGTGATTACAGTTACAGATATAGCACTGTACTGTAACTGTACATTCAGTAAGTGTAAAAGTACCATATGTATAGTACAGTACTGAACATATCAGAGTGGATAGTGTGTAGAGGTGCATGTACAGTATACTGTATGTATACAGTAAAGCCCCCGATAACGATGGTTCAACTAACGAAGATTTATACCTAAGACCCTGGTTAATTTAGACCCAATTCAATTTACGCCATTATTTTCTTCATATTTAAGGCGAAATTAAAAAATATATTTTACATTTTTGTATAAGTAATGACTAAATCCCGATATTATAAAAAGAACACGCCTTGCGCACGGTGGCTGCCGGGCTTGTTAGTGGTGACGCCAGCATCACTAGTATAAACAATCGCATCTGAACAGGAAAAGGAGAAAAACTTTTTCAGGTTTCTTACAACATTTTTGTATCCCTCTTCAACATGAGCAAGAGATCAAGTGATGGTAGTGTTGTTTCAAAAGCTAATAGAAAGTGTATAAGCTAAGCCGAGAAACTAGAGGTGTTAAAACGATATGAAAAAGGTGTTAGGTCTGTGGATATTATATGGAGCAAGCAATAAACATACCGTATATGAAGTGGATCCATTAACAGAACAAAGCATTAAAATTTAAATACGTAAACACAAATGACTACATAAAGATGTACAGTATACAGTAATGAGAAAAGAAAGCAGCTGTGCAAGGTTCTTTCGACAGCTATATTATTTGAAGGCCTAAACCGTCAAATTCAGCATCATAAGCAGCTTCAACAACAACTTCAGGTTCAGTAACAGTTTCAGCAACAGCTTTATGGAAAGCTACAGCTTCAGCCAGAGTTGAACCTGAAGACTTCATCATCTGAGTAAAAACTCGCACAATATTTATTGGGTGTCCTTATGTTTTAGACTTTACCACCATTGGTGAGTATAAGTTTTGTTTTACGTTCGTAAACATTATTTAAAACATATATGAATAGTAATTAAGTGTTGCTTTCATATTCATATGTAGAGAAATGACGATATGTTTTCACATGTACGCACTTACTGTACATACGTTGGCGTTCCCAATCGTCTCGCTCTATTTCTTTACCATTAGTGACTAGCTACTTCTAGTGTTCCATTTATTAACATTAAATAACATTACTTAACCCTTAAGCCCCGGGTTAAGGTGCTCCTGGCAGTAAACCCCCCCCCCCGCGGGGTTAAATCGGGAAAACATTGACTTTTCCAAAAATAATAATAAAAAATGGCGGGAAAATAGGCAGACGTTCTGGAACGTCACCCGGGGCCTAAGGGTTAAAACATACAGGTATTCAATTTTTTTACATTAAGTTCACCTCAGCTACAACCAGGGTCTTATTTTCTTCAGTTTCTTATGTAGAACCATCGTCACTCTCGAAAACATTGCCATCTTGTCTCGTCGTGTGTGTTTTAATATTCTATGTATTATTAATGAATTGTATTGTTCATTTCGCACATATAAAGATTAATCCAATCAAATACATATTCAGTAATAAACAATAATGAATCTCTTGTACATATTCTTAAAAAGATAAATGATGCGGTATCCTTAGATGCGCACGTATATGTTGGCATTCCCAATCCATCTCTTTTTTTTTCTTTTTCTTTTTTCCCCGTTAGTGGTTAGCTACTTCTATTGTTCCATTTATTAACATTAAATAACATTACTTAAAAAGAGATATTCATTTTCCACATTAATTTTATTACAGCTACAACCAAGGTCTTTTTTTTTTTTCATTTTCTCGTGTAGAAATATCGTCCCGGACTCCCGGCTGTAAACACAAACGAAAACAATGGCATCCCATCTCCTCTCGTGTGACCATATTATTATTCATTTATATTGTATAAGGTGCATTCAGAAACATTATTTAATGGATATAGTTTGCAATATTCATTAATTGTATTATTTTGGGTGGAAAAGAGGGTAAAAAGCCTCACAAAGGATATGAAAAGGTCACACTTGGGAACGCATCTCATTATTATTGCTTTATTTTAATGATAATTAGTGATTCGCAATACGATGATTCACCTTACACTGCAATATTGGAGGACACATTACCGTCGCTATTCGAGGCTTTACTGTAGTGCATTACAGTAATACAACCCTTCCTTGATGGAGGGAGAGGAGAGTGTCAGTTAGTAACACCTGCTACAAGAGATGGTACAGGACAGAGGTAGGCCATCCTATGTCTTTATTTCTCCAAATGGCTTGCTTATATCACGCTCAAGATGACAGCATCTGCTGATGTGTCCAGTATACTGTATATAGTGTATACAGTAATATACTTGTACTGTATATTTTGTTTATTCAATTTTCAATTTCAATTGTTTATTCCTTGATAGAGGAAGCGGGATCCTAGTGCTGTCACGAGGTACCCCTGTACAATGACACCAGAAGCATCTGGCAAGTGTGACAAGTATATACAGTATAAATATTATAAAGGGGCTTACTAAAGCTTAAGGAAGGAAGGATATTCCTTTAACACATAATCAATATTATTTACAAAATATCTGGCCAGTATGGGGAGGATCATCGTGTCTCCATCAGGGGGTCGTGGAGTGGTGGTCCAGCAGGCGTCACGGAAGCGTTGTGCGTGGGGACATCTTAGGAGGTAGTGGAAAAGGGTGCTGCTGTCGGGTCTTCTGCATAATGCACAAGAGCGTTGCTCAGGGGATGCGGGGATACCAATATCCCAAGCAAACTCATACCCAATGATGATACGGGCAGCAATAACATCCCCTTTCCGCGACCCTTTCCCGTAGACGTACGAGAGGTCAGGAAGTTTACGGAGGACATCGTACCAGGTGGGCGGGGAGTCCAGGGGGATGGCTGCTTCCCGAGCTTCTCTCTGTTTGCGGCGAATTTGGGTCCTAATCTGTAAGAGTGTTCGAGGAACAACGTAGTCAGGTGTGGCCTTGTTGCAGCCAGTCTTGGCAAGGCCATCTGCTGCCTCATTCCCCAAGATACCGACATGACTGGGTATCCATAGGAATGTCACAGGACGGCCTGCATCCTGAAGTGTGGATGTTAATTTTGTTTATTTACAATATACAGTGGTCCCTCGGTTAACGAACTCAATCCGGTCCAGCAGGCTGTTCGTTAACCGAAAAGTTCGTTAACCGAAACCATTGTTTCAATGGGTTTTTGGGTAATTGGTTCCAGCTCACCGAAAATTGCCTAAATTCAACAAAAATGGTAGAAAAGTTCACTTACTTTGAGGTGTGTATGTAGAAGGCTCCTGGATGATGATGATGATGATGATGGGAATTAGAATGGGGGTGGAGGAGAAGGAAGAAGAGAAGGCATTGGGGCAGAAGAGAAGTCACCCCATGGCACCATTTCTCCCATAAAATTTTAGTTCTCTTGGTGTATTTCAAGATTATTTTCTTTAAATCAACACTGCACTGCATTATATATTGTCAATATGTAAAATATATTTCAAAATGACCAATAATTTGCTTGGAAACACAGAAAAAAGCATTTAGTTGAAGAGTCTCAAGCAAGATGTTACCTCCAGTGAAAACAGAGAGAGACTAACGCCTGTTTGCTGTGTTAAGAGGCTGGATGCCGCACATTAAACTAGTCACTTTACCTTCAATTATGTTCAATAATTGTTAAAATGACTAAAAAATTGAATATTAAACTTTTAAAATTATTGAATAGTATAAACTTCTTGATATTTACTAAAATAGTAAGGAATTTAAGCCCTAGAACCGATTAATGTATTGGCGGACTGATACTAAAGCTGGTTGCCCGGCTAGTGCAAGCGAAAACATGTTGAGGTCGGTTCGTAAGAAATTCGTTAACCGAATTTTTGTTCGTTAACCGAATTGAAGATTCTTATGGAAGGCAGTTGGTTAACCGAAATTTCGTTAACCGAGGCGTTCGTTAACCGAGGGATCACTGTATTGTATACGTACTACTGTACAGTGGTGTTCACGTAAATAAATACAGCTCTGTCTGCCCACGAGAGATGCGCAGTTTAGAATCTCAGAAGACTTCTCCATAACAGTAGTACAGGTTGACAACTCTTTATCCGAAATTCCGAAAACCGAAAAGCTCTGAAAACCAAAAGTTTTTTTTTATGGGACAATTTTTTTTGTTTTTTTTTTTCTTTTTTTTTTTTGTTTCTTTTTTTTTCTTTTTTTAAACAGGGATTAGCCCACCAGGGCATAGATCACTGACCCACATCGGAGCCTGGGGGGCGAAAATGTAATAGTAATAATAATTATAATAATAATTATTCATAGTAAAATAAAAATTTTAATAAAAAATACACCAAAATAAAATAATAATGATAACAATAATAAAAGTAAAATATAATAAAAATTAATATTAATAATGATAATAACAATAATACTGTAATAATAAAATAATAATAATAAAGAAATACAAGAATGAAAAAAAGATCAAAAGTGAGAAACACGACCTAGACCTATGAATTATTATTATTATTATTATTTTTATTCTATTCCCAGGCCCCAATGTGGGTCAGTGACTTGTGCCCGGATGGGCTAAAAAAATATATATAAAGAAAATAACCATTCTGAAAACCGAAAAATTCCAAAATCCGAAATGTGTCTGGCCCCAAGGATTTCAGATAAGGGATTGTCAACTTGTACCTAGAAAAATTCCGGGGGATGTATACAGTTTTTACCGGGATGGGAAAATTTGTCTCCTTACTCGGAAATCTCTCAGTCCTGGAACCGCTCTGCATCAATTATTCCGACTAATGGGGATATCACTGTATTCACCTTTTTATATATTTTTTAAGTGGGTGATAATGATAGTCAAGTGTTATTATATATTATGTGTACAGTACAATAAAAAGAGAATGTCAAACCAGTAATTGGCTGCATCTTTCAGTGTGGCTGGATGCCCGTACAACCAGCACAGTGGAAGCGATACTGAAGGAAACACCCGGCCAGAACAAGGATTATGTGAAGGATATGTGTGGGCTCCCCATCACCACCTACTTCTCAGCCTTGAAATTACGTTGGCTCCTGGATAATGTGAAGGAGGTTCAGGAGGTGGTTGAACAAGGCAACCTCTTGTTTGGCACCATTGACACCTGGCTATTATGGGTTAGTCAATTAAATGAAATTTTTGTATTGTCTTACACTTAATTAATTTGAAACCGAGACAATTGCTCTATCTTCTTTTCCTTTTAAAATTATGACAGGACTGTATACTAGTACAATGTATAGGTGAAACTACTCTGGAAATGAAGGCATCAAGGCCATAACTTGTACAGTACCTCATTATGGTTTATGGTCCTTGATTTTACATTTATCGAAGGTGTGTCTTGTACCATTCTTGAACTTGTATGTACATTTATATACTGTACTATGCTGTAGCAATATTGTCACTAAAGGAATAGTTATTTTATAGAGTGACTGAGCTAAGCTGTACAATATGCTCACCAGTGTTAGCTACACAGACTTCAAAATGGTAAGTCCAGATTCACACATCATCCCAGGGTTATTTGAAATTTATTTTGTTCCTTCATTCCCCCCCCACTTTTATTTCACATGTCCAGATCAAGGTCACAATGAAGGAGAACCTTCTTAGTGATAAATTGATATGATTTTCCCATTAAAATGCTGTTATTCTCACTTGATTTTTATATTGCAGAATTTGACTGGTGGCCTTGATGGTGGGCTGCATGTGACTGACGTAACCAATGCTTCTCGCACCATGCTTATGAATATATCTACATTACAATGGGACCCAAATCTCTGCAAGTAAGGGAGAAATAATTTTAATCCATATCGTTAACTTAAAATTTTGACATTCAACCATTTTTTTTTCAATTTTAAAAAATAAAGTAACTATGAATTATAATCTTTAGGGTTTCTGTTGTATGCCTTTGTGTGTGATAATGGTATACAGTACAGTAAAAATCTACTTATGAAAGTGAAGTTCTCGAGAACGAAGTGGATTTCTTGAACATATCTGTTTCATTGCCAGAGGTATACTGTACAAATCCATATCATCAACTTTATCTTACACTGCACATGGCCATCCATGCTACATACTGTACATACGTATATCAGGACTCGGGAACTTTCAAAAAATCTTCTTTGCAGATTCTAGAATCTAGAACCTTACCCAAATCTATTAACACTTTAAATAAAATAAGTAACTGAATTTACTGAAAGTACAGGACAATATTACCATATCTTTATTTCCAACACGTACTAATTTTTTATGAGCTCAACTAAAAACAACTGAATTTACCCAAAATATATCATAAGTACAGTACAGTATGATTATGTTACTTGAACTTGTAATATGCTGGCTGTTGTTTTGAACAGTTGTGCCTCGCTGCTGATATGGACGTCCAAATAATAGATTCTATCTGAGTAATGATGTCACTGTGGCTTAATTAGTCTGGTGTTCATTTTTTTTCTTTTATTTACTGTAGTTCATTAAAATATTGGTTGTAAATATTCTTAGACCACCCTACTCCCCTCCTGTATTATAGAGGATGGATGTTCATACATTAATATTTTTAAGGGTGTATCAAAGGCAGACAGTATAGTAGCAAGTAGATTATTTGTGTTCAGATATGAGTGGGATGATGTATTGTACTAAATCAGAATATTGACTGTAAAAGTAGTGGTAGAATGAGAAGAGGATGCTAGATGATGTGCATTGAGGATACTTGGAGAAACAAAGATGAGTTAAGGTACGGTATGTAGTTTCAGTTTGGATGGTGCCAGGGATAGTTAAGGGGGTCTGGAATAGTTCTCCCCCTGTATAGAAACAGCAGTCTAAAGGTGTGCTTATTAATACTGTTGTGCCTTATATGTACAGATAAGACTCAACAATATGTCATGTGCTAGTAATTTGGTATCTAGGATGTTGCTTCATTTATGACAGAGGATTATTTTTACAGGTTCTTCAAGATACCTATGTCTGTCCTGCCAGAAATCCGCAGTAGTTCTGAGATATACGGCTATATCACAAAAGGGCCCCTTCTTGGTGTGCCAATCTCAGGGGTAAGTATTTTGTCTCACTAGGCACAGTGTAATATAAGTGATGTGAGTCAGTGTGAAGGTTGACTATCGCATAATATACTATTTGTTCGAGTTGAATGTTTGAACAAATATACAGAATTTGGAGCATTTATTTTAGTTTTTATTTTATTTTATTTAGCCCATTCCTGTCACTTTCTACACTTGTCTTACACCACTTACCCCAACTCTTTCTCCAATTGTTAAAGTACAGATAGAGAGAAAATTTTATAACTCATACATATCATCATTGAATATTGGGCCTGAGCAAGTGGGTACAGTATTTCTCCCCATGATTGAAAAACATGCATCTGTATTTTTATACCAAGTTATGTAAAATGAAGAGAAGATATAGTCAACATTACTGTGTAGGAAATAATAGTAACCATATTAGAATATACATTAGGGGGATGTCTACTTCTGATACTACTTGTGTATTAAAAACTCTTAAGCATTGATATATTACAGTATTTAATCTGAATGATGTTCAGTGTCTTGAAAGATTTATAAGACTTTAGGGTTGTATCCAGATTAACAAAGGGAAAGACCTGAGGGCTTAGTAATCATTAAACAACCTAGAAAATAAGTTTGTTCCATATTTGTATTAATTTTAGTGTTATTTTATCCTGATGACATACTGTCATTGGGGACCTAACCCTAGTTAAAGTAATAGTGCTTTAGGGACAGCTAGTATTAGATTTTATTCATATTATTCTTTCAATTTCCATTAAAATTTGCATCATTTCTTGCATATATATATATATATATATATGTTACAGGTACTGGGAGACCAGCAGGCAGCGCTAGTGGGGCAGATGTGTTTGTCTCGTGGCCTGGCCAAAAACACATATGGCACAGGATGTTTCTTGCTCTATAACACAGGAACTCAGGTACTGGGATGCATTATGTACTCTGTAGTTGCCAGCCTTGGATATAGTAGTTGTGTTGATGGTAAATTTTACACTATAAAAACTTTCAGCCATGATGTTCTCAGGGCCAGCTCATCCTGAATTAGGAATGTGTGAACCTTTATAACACTGCATTGGTATTCAAGTACCTGTATTGTGATTTTTTCATTTAGGTTCTGTGATTAGTTGTGAAAGCAATGCTGAAATCACATATTAGGTTAATACTGTATACCATATCATTAATAATTCTCATTTGTTTTAGTGGGAAAATTTAGTATAGATTTTAATTAACTTTACTATGTTTTAAAGGACAGAATTAGAGTAGATCTTAATGAACTGTAAGAGTTGTAAAGGTGTTTTATGTACAAGTATATTATAATAATATTTCTCCCATTGTAGATTGTGCAGAGTAATCACGGCCTTCTCACAACAGTCGCCTACAAGTTTGGGAAAAATGCCCCAACTATCTATGCCTTAGAGGGTTCTGTTGCCATAGCTGGAGCTGCTGTGCGTTGGCTCAGAGACAACCTTAATATTATCAAGACATCTGCAGATATTGAACCATTAGCAAAGTCAGTTAAAGACTCTGCAGGCGTTTACTTTGTTCCAGCCTTCTCTGGCCTATACGCTCCATATTGGCGCACAGATGCCAGAGGGTGAGTACAGTACTCTATAGTTTTATCCCAATATGATAATGATTCTCATGTCGTAGGATTTATAACAGACATCACAATTAGAAAGAACAAATGAGGACATACGAGATGAAAGTCAGTGTTGCTCTTGATTTGTACTATCCAGGGCAGTAATAGGGAAAGGGATTAATCAATATATGTATTTTAAAAAAAGGTGCCTTGTTGTGGAAGGTAAACAACACAGCAGAATCACCTGTTACAGCAACTAGAAAGATAGTACTGTTTGATCAAATGAGTGAATCAATAATGCTCTCAACTTGGGTCTTCATGTGTCAAAGGAGGGGAGGGATCGTAAGAGTAGAATAAAAATATTCATATCCAAGAACATGGTATACATACAACTGGGTCTCAAATTAAAATGTATAATATAATGTACAGTATTGGATTTCAGAACATTAAGATTTACACTTATCACATATAAGTTAATTGGCAGAAAGTCTTATGGAGGCAGAGTTTGGAATTCAGTTGTATAAGTTACCATGATGATTGTCATAGAACCAGACTACAGAATATGATCAAGAAAGGTCAGGTTACAGAAGGTATATTTAGGGAACTTAGTTGACTAATCAAAGGAAATAAAAGGAATCAATGTTCTCCCAAAGTATTAATAATACTTGATGTGTTATATTTCCTACGTATGATACTGTCAGTCTTATATCTGTTAACTTTCTTTATATCAGATGGACTTGGAATATCAAAAGACTGCTCTGTTTGATGTACCATAAATATATTAAAGTATTTGTCAGACTTAAATTTAAACAAGTGTGTGACTCTTCCCTTTTCATCAGGGAAGGGATCTACTGTGGTCTCTTCAGAGAAGCCGTTCATAATTAAACCACACTGCAAGTATTGCTTTTAACCTTTTGTGACTTGGCCTTCCTCATTTGCTGCCCCTGTGATAACACCAAAAGGGCCAATTACCATGCCCTCTCAAACCCTGCCATTGAGGTCCCAGCTAAATTAGGGTTCAAGATTAAACAAAGAGTTCCAAAGCTCAGTTTGCAACTCTCTAAACTCCAGGCCCAAAACACATGGAATTAGTCTTGTGGTCAAAGCAGGGTTGGTGACGCCACCTTCTGTGTCAGTTCCCTGGATTAACTTCTTCCTTTAAGATATTTGCCACATGTAAAAAGAGGGAACATTCACAATATCTCAGCCAAAGAACTCATAACCAGTGTTTTATAAGTAATGTCTCCAGATTAACAAAGTTGGATGTTTGAATTGTTTTTTTTCAAGCATGTAGTGTGTCCACCCTCTTCCACATTAGAGAACACAGCTATGATTATTTAGGTTCTATCCCATACTTTTCTTCTTTTATCCCCTTGCCTCACCATGGCTTAATTGTCAGTAGAGTATCGACAGACTACATTAAATAATTTCCCATTACATACTTTATATTTTAATAGTTGAGTTACCCAGCTTCACCTGGGTGGAGGGACAGGAGATAGTTAATAACCTTCCCCTGCCCTCTTCAGAACTGTGGACCGACCTGTGGGTGAGGATTCGTGGTCAGCCTCTATGTGGCCGACTCACTCCTCGTGGAGGTATTTGAAATAATGCACGAGTATCCTCTAGACCACCCGCACCTCCCTACTAAATTTTAGCTCTCTATCTTCAAATCTGGATATGCATAAGGGACACACACACTCACTGAATGTGTTTTATATAAACCGTAAAGATTAACTGTCTACGTGTTCAGAATGAGACAATTTTCTCTTTCTGTTCTCCCTCGCTCCTACCCTATAACCACACCCTTCCCTCTCTATCTCCTCCACTCTTCCTCAGTTAACTTTAACAGACAGTATAGTGAATGTTAAATATAAAGTTTTCATCAAATTTATATGATATGCTGAAGACATACTAGACTACAGCATTGACTTGTCATTTGAGTCAGGTTAGTCTAGTGACTCATGAGATAGAGTTTTGCTCCCATACCCAAGTAGGTGTGTGTACACAGATATACTCAATGTTGAGAGCAATTGGTCAAAAATAGGACTAAACCAAACCATGATGACTTGGATCCAGTTGTTATGAGCACCAATAATGATGGTTGTGTTAGATTGGGGCCTTTTAGGTCTGGGACCCATTTGACTTGGACCCTTATCAATACCCCGGTACAAGTTGAACCTCCTCATATGGGGTTTGTCGCCCCAGGAATAGTTGGAGTCTGTATTGAATACTAACTTGCATATCTCTCGTTATATATGCTTGTTGCATTGTTAACACTTTGTTTGGTTTATTTTGACTCCATTTCATTATTTAGCTGTTTGGTGAATTATTTCTTGAATATAAAGAGGTATAGGGGATAAAAAGATTCAGTAGACATCTTGGGGGATTGTGTTGTGGAACACTGCAGCAGAATACATTTGTTACTCTGATTAAAGAGAACAAATGAACAGCAATTGAAGGAAGAGTCTGTGCTTAAATACAACCACCCTCCATCACAACGAGAATGGGCTTTTTTTTTCATCTGATGCGCCTAGGTTTCTTCCATTATGGATTGTTGTCCTTATTACCAGTATCTCTTTTGGTGTATCTTACAGAACTATATGCGGCTTAACTCAAGGGAGCTCAGGAGCCCACCTGGCAAGAGCAGTGCTCGAGGCTGTCTGCTTTCAAACTCGAGAAATCTTAGACTCAATGCAAAAGGACTCGGGTATTGCCCTAAATAAGTTGCAGGTAGATGGAGGAATGACCTGTAACAACACACTGATGCAGCTGCAGGCAGATCTAGCGGGCGTACCTGTTGGTGAGTAATGTTTTTTATTCTTCCCCTTGTGTAATAAGGTTAACTGATTAGTTAAGGGAGCCCTCAATTCTTTCATATAAGTTCATTATTTATAGTTTAATTAGAACTATGATAAAGTGACTGGTTTTTTAATGTGATAATCATGCCCATTTGGACAGTTCTTTTGGCAATTTCTTTGAACACACCACTGTTTGAAGTTGCAGAGATGTTGTGTAAGCAGAAACTAGGGAAGGTTCATTTTGAGTCATGAGGCTTCAAAATACAAGAAACAACAAATACAATATTGGTAAATCAATGGATGGAAACAAATTAACTGTCAAAATTGATTGGTTATCATTCGTTGAGCTTCCCACATCTGTAATGTATCAGTTTTTGTTTATTCTGCCAGTATTTCCCCTTGTTTTCATATAAAGAACTATTGTGAAGCCCAGCATCTGTGTATCCATCTCTGTTCATCTCTTTCGTACATAGCAACTCGAGAATAAAGAAAGGGATTTTAACCAAATTTTTTCATGGTATTTTTCGGATATGGAAGATATAGTCGTCTTCATCTTCGGTAGATTTCATTGTCCTTTGAGAGGAATTGTTTGAAAATCTGTCCTTGATACTGTACATGTAATTAAGATATTTATAGTAAGACTTTAAAATACATCCTTGTCACTTGTAACAGCAAACAGATATTTTGTTTTATACTGTTTAAGTTGGGCTGTCTTTTTTCCAGTTATTAAAAGATATATTTTAAAGTTTACAGCTGTTGTGTGTCTCCTTGAAAAATGTGAACAATTAATTTCCTCTAATAGAAAAATGACAGTTCTAAGTCTCGTGAAGTTTTGATAATTATGTTTGTCCCCCTTAACACCCCTAGACCCACTTGCTGTACCTTCATGATCTCTATCATTCCACTGCAAAGAGTAAACACTTTGTTTTGTAGTGAAGGGACAGGTGTTTTCCCCAAACTAATCAGCACCTTCCGTTCCATAGTCAGAAAATTTTTACATTTATCGAACTTGAAATAATTTTAAAACACTGATGAACTGTAGTCCTTTTAGGACAATTCTTTAATTAATACAAACAATTCATTACCTGTAGTGCGTCCAAGCATGACTGAAACGACTGCATTAGGAGCAGCAATGGCAGCTGGGGCAGCAGAAGGCATAGCAGTGTGGGACTTAACCAAACTATCCCCTCCCACTACTGATGACTTCACACCTACAATAATGCCAGAAGGTAAGTGAAGCAATTTCAATAAAAAACATATGTGAACACCGGAGGAAAAGCATGATGTAATAATCTGATTTATAAAATCGCCTGACGTTAGCCATAATAAAATACCTAATGATATGCCCTCTAAAGGGTTAATTACTCTTCTTCCTTTTTTCCAGCCTATAATGGGTATGATGTGCTAATTGCCTTAAGCATCCCCATAAGTAGTCAGAGTACCTGGCCATCATTGAGAACAGAAAGAGCACTAAAGCAAAGTTAATTTCTTAGGTATATATACTGTGTACATCAATAATTTTCAGGATTGAACTGAATATTGTGTGTGATAGATGTGGTCCTTCTAGTGGCAGTTAATTGGTAAGATCCATCCCAGATTTCAGACTTCTTTCATATTAGGTTATCTTTCTTAACTTGTAGTACTTGTAGTTGTTGTATCAGAACCTTGGACATAGAATCATACAATATAATGTGCAGTCACTTTAAAACAATGATGGTAACCCTTGACAAATGATGTCATAACCCTGTCACGTGGAAGGTGGAGACAGCACCTGTGATCACCTACCCTAACTACCCCCCCCCTCCTCATTATCTGGTATCATTGTAGGTAATACTTGTCACGTGAGGTCATGACTCCTGTCACCTCATATCTGCAGCCTCTCAGCTTGGTGGTTCCTTTGAAAAGCTGATAACTTGACACCGAGTGACCAGAGGGAGATTGGTGACTTAATGTAGAAGTAAATTACCTGCACCTGACATTGGTCACTAATTCTGGTACTCTGTTGACAAGCGGCCCATTGAAAGATCTCCCTTGTTAAACATGCGGGGTGAAGTGGAGTCGTGCAACACCTGAAAATATTTTTTCAAAGCATTTTCCTCAAAACATTAGCTTGTCCGCTGGGCACTGCTCATCTGCACAGCTGGTTTTGAAGTTACCTTTAAAGCATTTATGGTAATAATGAGATTTTGAATGTATACTATTGTAAGAATTTTGTACTTACAGAGCGTGAAGAGCGTTACGAGCGATGGTGCATGGCTGTGGAGCGTTGCATGGGCTGGGAGCTACCAAGGGATAAGCAGCCTGGACCAGGTAGTGAACACAAGTAGAATTTGGTTGTTTAGTGATGTTCAAGGTCTCTAGTTAGCTTGTGTACCTGCATGGAGAGGCTGGTGCTAGTGCAGTAAGTGAAGTACAGTACTGTAGTTGAATTATTTTGTCTCAATTTTTATTTTGTCATAAGTGTAATTAGTGTGGTGGACATGTTGTAGTAGAGTATTGAATGCTTATTGATGTAACAACTTTGTCCAGCAAATTGAAAAAGATGCATATAACTGTTTTGATATTATCAATTTATAATTACTTACATACACATCATGCAGAAATATATCTATGTGCATCTTTACTCTGTCAACTGGTTTTGGGATGATTTCTTTAATTTTAATAATCATGGTTGGGTTAAGGAATAATCAGAATGATCCCAGTTTTATAAATATTTTGAGCTTTGGTTAAGATGATAACTCGTCCTTTTATCAAATTGTTCACATATGCTACAGCTATGTGATGCTAAGGTGGTACAGTATATGAAACAGGTGAAAATCAGATGGATAGCTTGGAGCTTTGTTGTGGAGGGGGACACCATGGCAGAACACACATGATAAGGTAGCTAGAAACAATGAGTGACAGCAAATAAGGGAGATTCTGTGTTGCTCTTGATTTTATCGAGGGAAAAATTGTATTGAGTTGTAAATGAGTTTTGAAAATATTTGCTGCATGTTGTAATGGAGAATTGTGTAGAAGGTTGTGCCTTAAGTGACTTATTCAGTAAGTGGTCAGGATAATGGAAAAGTTGTCCTCTTCTCAGGTTGTTCCATGGGAGATAATTTACTTAGCAGTTAATACATAGAAACTTATACTTCTTCAGTGTGTATTGATATAGATAACAATTATTAAGAGTATTTTACTACTGGAATTGTCTACCTAATTTTAAAAAACTTGTTATAGAGTAACTACTGAGGTTAATATGGTGGTATGTAAGTTGTGTTAACAATGTAGGGGTTAGTTTGTTAATGGTTTACAGAATGATTACTAGTATGGTCAGTGACCTCAGTCTTGGGGCTGTGATTAGTGCTACTAACTTGTATTACCATGAGAGTTATAAAGTTGTCTTTATATCTTATTTCGGTATATATTAGTGCCTCCTTGCTTCATGTTTTTCAGTTGTACTGTGCAGGAAACCATTTAAAACTTAATAGCTCTCTATCACTGTAGATATCATCATAAATTTCTGTGAAGTAAGATAAGGCTTTGAAAGATTGGGGTCTTGTAAGTAAAGAAATATAAAGGTGGGGAACTAAGGCAAAGGTTATGGTGATGTGGTGACTGAAATGTATGGGTAACAACAGATTGCATTTGCCAGTAGTGGGCATTAAGTGTTCAAAGTTTTTAAGATTTTTATTAACTTGGTTGTGTGTAGAAACTTAAGGAATATGCAGAATATAGATTTAATGTAAAATAAAATATTAATGAACAAATGAAATGTACAAGGAGTCAGGGTGTTGTTACTAAGTTGTCCTGTATCTTGGGACTGTGTTCAGGTTTATTAATATTAAGTTTAGAGATCCATTAATGTCCTGAGGTAACCTGAGATTAAAAGAAGAATATACAGTGATCCCTAGGTTAACGAGATTTCGGTTAACGATTTACCTTCCATAAGATTATTAACTTCGGTTAACGAGCAATCCCTCAATTAACAAGTTTTTTACGGGCCGACTTAAACATGTTTTCGCTTGCATTTGGCGGTCCACCAGCTGTAGTATTAGTCCGCCAATACAGTAATCGGTTTTAGGGCTTAAATTCCTTACTATTTTAGTAAATATCAAGAAGTTTATACTATTCAATAATTTTAAAAGTTTAATATTTACTTTTTTAGTCATTTTAACAATTATTGAACATAATTGAAGGTAAAGAAACTAGTTTCTGGCGTGCCATCCAGCCTGTTAACACACCAGACAGGCGTTAGTCTCTCTCTGTTTTTAGTGGAGGTAACATCTTGCTTGAGACTCTTCAACTAAATGCTTTTTTTCTGTGTTTCCAAGCAAATTATTGGTCATTTTGAAATTTATTTTACATATTGACAATATATAATACAGTGCAGTGTTGATTTAAAGAAAATAATCTTGAATTACACCAAGAGAACTAAAATTTTATGGGTGAAATGGTGCCATGGGGTGACTTCTCTTCCACCCCAATGCCTTCTCTTCTCCCTTCTCCTCCACCCCCATTCTAATTCCCATCATCATCATCCAGGAGCCTTCTACATACACACCTCAAAGTAAGTGTACTTTTCTACTTTTTTTGTTGAATTTAGGCAATTTTCGGTGAGCTGGAACCAATTACCCAAATCTCATTGAAACAATGGTTTCGGTTAACGAGTTTTTCGGTTAACGAGCAACCTGCTGGAACGGATTGTGCTCGTTAACCGAGGGACCACTGTATAACCACTTCTTTAGTGCAGACCAAAACCATGGTACTGTATATGCATATCACGCCCAACACTGTGAGTACCACAGTTTTGGTGTGTGATACAGAAGGGGTAAATGTTTAGCCAAGTAAGATCTGTGTATAAATTTGGTCAAACAAACAAACAATATGTGTGAAATTTTAGGAACTGGCTAAGAATAGCAAGATGATAGGGTAATTTTATATGATTTTTTTATGCCATTTAATGAGAGGAATTTCCTACTTTACTGTCATTTTACAAGGACATGAAAAACAAACTTGTATAATTTTTTAGATGGATAAAGGTTTTCTCAAGTGAGCATTTAGCATTGCTTAACTTAGGATGAGCCTTCAGAACCAATATACTGTACTGTACAGTATTTTGTCAGCTAAACTGCACATATTCTTTTGTTAGTCCAAATGGCATCATTCATCTTAATACGTGTATCTCTGTCAAAGAAAATTTTATTTTTCTATTAATCATATTACTTTTTGTTAAAGAAATTCTTAGTAAAATCTCTTTAATTTAGGGTTCTTCGAAAAATTTAGGTGTTTTGTTACTTGTAGAAAAAGCTTTGCAATTACGTGGAATAATAACATTACTAAGGGTCATGTCAGGGCTTGAAAGGGAAGGTACTGTACAATGCTGTGTTTAAGGCCAGTTTGTGTATTTGTGTAAAGAAAATATTTATACTATGTCTAATGGGTATAAATGTCAGTGTAATGCATACTTTGAACCCCTAGATTGAAGCATATTTTATGCCTGTTTACTTTCATGGGTTAGGTTAGGTTTGAAATTGTCATTGCACAGATTTTTTTGCCCATAGACACACAAAAAATGGCCTGATAATGTACAGTATTCATACAGTAGCTCCAAAATCCTTGTTCTTTCTTTGAACCCTGATGTGACACTTAATATTAAACTATCAAAATAAATAACATGTCATTTTGTCAAAAACGATAAGGTTTATTTTTCATTACCGGTACACTGTACAGGACATGAGCAAATCATTATATGAATTTTTGCACATTTTTCTGGCTAAAAATGTTTACAGTACTTGATTTTTTTCCATTAAACTAAGGAGATCTTGCTGTACATAACATACAGTATATACAGGGGGGTCCCTGGGTTACGAACAAGTTCCGTTCCTGAGGACGTTCTTAAGCCAGATTTGTACGTAAGTCGGAACACATGCTTTGTGCGTACTGTACTTACAGAACAATGTTTAAAACCCCACTATATTATAGCCTAAGCCCTTATACACATCTAAAATGACTTAATTCAAGACAAAAGAAAATGGAATGACAAAATACAGTAAATGAAAGTAAAAAATAAGTCATCAGGTAAATAAAATACAGTAATATTTCCATTAGCCGGAATCCCTCAAACCCGGAACTCTCCGATAGCCGGAATTGAAATTTTCTCAGAAAATCGTTTACAAAGTCGGAATTTTCTGGAAAATTACGGCTTTGGGAACAATTTTTTCATAAAATTCTGAGAAAATTTTCCCTATACCCAGAAAATTCCAGAAAATTCCGGGGGGATGGGAGAGTTTTCTTCCAGGTTTGAGAGATGAAAATCAGGCTCATTTTTTTTAAATTCCGAGAAAATTTTCTGTTACCCGGAAAATTCCGAGGATGATGGATATTTTTCCGGGTTCGAGAGATTATGTAATGGGCTATTTCTGGAACTTCCGAGAACAGTTTTCTGTTACCCAGAAAATTCCAGGGATGAGGAATTTTTTACGGCTTTGAGAGAGTCTTCTCGTTATCCGGAAATCTTTCATTCCAAGAAGTGCTCTGCACCAATTGTTCTGGCTAACGGGGATATCACTGTACTGTAAATCTCAAGTTTAAACCCCGTTTGTATCGGCGGGTGTTCGTAAGTCGGGGACCCCTGTACTTTTATGTATTATTAATGTTGTTTGTTTTTGGGGGTTGCCTGTATTGTTTAGTTCCATTTTATATATAATCTACGCTCTGTTTTTATTTTAGTTGATTTGTACTGGAAGGTTGTCTGCTTCATTGTATTAGTAATCAACAGTTTCCCAAGTGCTGTGATTTTTTTAGACAGGTGTTGTGATTATATTTCCGTCCTATTATTTTTATTTCCATTTATCAGTAATTAATATGTGTGGGTGTGTGTGTGTTTTGAATGTACAGTTAAAAAGATGTATGACTGTTGGGATATCCATTCACACAGCCCTGCACATTATGCTGAGGCAGAGACAGGCACAAAAGTTTATAAATTTTTATGACAATAGGCAGGAAACAACATGAAGTTTAAAAACACAATAGGAATCATAGGAATAGATAATCAGAATTGCATTACTTAATGTGACAGTAGACTTCTCTCTTTCAAAGAATAGACTCCTCTCTTTCAAAGAATAAGTGATATTACAAAGCAGTGTGGGCAATTCTCATATCATTAATAAAGTTTGTGGTTTGCCTCTCACCACTCTGATTCAGGTTCAGTACACACTTGGGTCGTGATACAAGAAGGTTGTCCAGGGTGACACTACCAAACATGGTAGGTTTTCTTTGGGTACTTTAGTTTCCTCTTGCACTAACACTGAGCTCATTGGGGAAGG